ACCAGTGCCCCACCCCCAACATAACACAAAATAACGACACCAGTTTAACAAACAATATGTGTTCGCTCTCGTAAGGTAAAGCTTAAAATGGTAATTCCATCAATTATTTTTTTATTGACATAGAAGTAGATGGATTTTAAATGTAGATAAGGTTCAGATTAGGTCAATGGTTGGCACAATACTACAAGTTCTTCGAGTGGTCGTCCAAAAAAGATGTCAAGAAATTTTCGCCGAATTGTATCTTTTAACCCTTTCCTTCTCCCCACCCATGAAACGTGCTGTCACACGTCGTTACAAAAGCCAGAATCCAGTAACACAACGTCACGATATTCAGTTCCCTATAATAAAGTAACGAATATTCTAACATTAATTAAACGAATATTCTCATTATTTTCGTCACATCTCATAACTGCCACCCTTATCATTAGTTTTACAATGTAAACTAGTTATAAAATAAAACTGTAAATAGTGTGCGATATGTTGCTGTATATAACATACGAAGTAGAATGTACCTGTTACTGTGCAACTCTATCTGAAGAAATTATGTTGTCAATTCAATGCCAAAAGATAACGTTTTATTAGTTATATATCCACTTACAGACTATTCATAGACTTAACGTATTTTGGTGCCATCACAAGTTGGTCTAAAGAAATGAAATAATAGAATATGTATTTTTTTAATCTTAAGACTTCGTTATCAAACCACCCCACGTATCACAGACACATATCCTATGTCCTCTTATTTGCAAAAAAAATAAATTGTAATGGGTTTTACTCCATTTATTTTCGGAAATATTTTATGCGACTACTTTTGAATTTTTTTTCTTCACATTGTAACATCTCTTAAAACAGTGGTTCTTAACTTGGGTTCGATCGAACCCCACCCCAGGGGTTCGGTGACTCAGTCTCATAGGTACGGGGAGATTGAAGCACACATTCAATTTACGATCGGATTTTTAGTGCAGACGATTGAACTATAAAAAGTGCTGGGTGTTTTCGAATATGAAAACTGTTGTGTTTCGGTACCTCTAAAAAAAGGTTGAGAACCACTTTCTTAGAGCCAGCAAGAAACACGATGGTGGAGTAAAGCGACAACAAGATATTTACACGACATGATGGAACTGACGACTTAGCCTTCACACGGGGGCTAGGAAAGGGAAGGCACTTAAATGGCATACAGCTGAAATTACCCCGACCGGAAGCACTTCCGCTTGTTGCGTGACACACATGCGCAAATGATTGATCCAGGGAGATTTGAAGAATCCAAATCTTTCGTGTTAACGTACGTTGTATGATTTATGGGAACCAGAGTTTCTTCCAGGCATCTTTTCGGGGGAGCCCCCCCCCCCCGAAGAAAGTCTACCGCCCCCCGAAAATTTCAAGTGCCCCTTCCCCCCCCCCCCCCCCCGGAGAAAAAAGTCTGGAAGAAACACTGACAGGAACTTTATGGAATATATTTTATATTATACCAGAGGACATTCAGTTGACTCAGGGGCGTAGCGAGGGGGGCGGGGGGCGGACCGCACCGGGTGACACCAATTAGGGGGGTGACACCAAGGCAAAAAATAGCTAAATATATAGAGAAAAACTTGAGGGGTGGGGGTGCAAATCGAAATTTTGAAAGTTTGTCCCCGGGAAGGGTCGCTACGCCTCTGGCGAGTGACACCATCAAGTGCCGCACCGGGTGACACCCGACCTCGCTACGCCACTGAGTTGACTGCATGACATTTTATGACATTTTTAAGACTTGGTTAAATCTGCGATACTGTATGACATTTAAATGAGCAGATGACATATATGGTAGTAAAAGAGAGTAATATAACTAGATGTCATCTATGTAATTATTGGTATAATATTAAATTATATAGCGCTAAGTGAGATTTAGGTAACTAGGTGGCATTGAAATACTAAATGACATCAAAAGGATTGCACGATAAAGTTTTTAGGGGATATTTTTGTAACTAGATAACATATCATATCCCAATGTAATTATAAGTCTAATTAATTATTAATCTTATTGTTCTCAAATAAAACATAGTAGTTTTTTTTTAATATCCTAGCAATAAATCATTAACCACGACTGTAGCTAATGAGTCCACAACTGCACCTTTTTACAACAAGACAGTATTTTCTAAAAAAAAAAATAATTTCACATTCGCCATTTCTCCGAAAAATAAGCAAATTTTCAAGCCCAGTCGCGAGTCGTTAATCCGGCCTAGATTCTGGGACTGCCGGCATCCGGTCGACTACGGCGAAACACCATCTTTAGAGCTGATGACATTACCGTCCAGACTCCGGTTCCGGTCGATACAAATCCGGTTAAAGTTCCGGATTGGCAACTTCTTTCTTCAACGTCAGCTGTTTTTTTAGACCCGATTTTGTTGGAACAGTCTAGATTTTTCTGGTGACACTAGCCGTGGGTATCCGTATAGGCCTACATTTTAAAAAATATTATAGTTGTTTGAGAAAAATATATGAAATAGTTATTGGTCAAAACGCAATGTGCTATACTACAAGTTAAAGGATATTTTTGACAAAGCAAAGAAACAACTAAATAACTAAACATCCGACACATTTAAAATAACATAGGCTACCAATAACTATTAGAAAAATTTAAATAACATCGTATTAATTTTTTTTTTAAAAAGTCTATTCGTTTTGACTTGAGAATTCAATGTTATTTATAGCAATGTTATTTATAGCAAGCGGATGTTGACCCGGAAGTCGTCAAGTCGGTTTTACTTATCGGACAGGGCTGGTTGCTATAGCAAGCCTGTTAGCAACAATCTATTACTGTACATAAAGACTATGATAACAGACTATCTTCGTGTGCTCAAAGAAATCTCAGTGCAATTCGATCATTTTAATTATAGGCTAGATTACATTAAGGCTTCCTCTATTCCGGCTACATTACTTTACCAATTCCTCTAATCTAGCTACATTACATTAAGACTTCCTTTTCCCGGCTTCATTACATTAAGGCTTCCTTTATTCCGGCTACATTACATTTAGAATATCCTTTATTCCTGCTACATTACATTTAGAATATCCTTTATTCCTGCTACATTACATTAAGGCTTCCTTTATTCCGGCTACATTACATTAATGTTTCCTTTATTCCGGCTACATTACATTAAGGTTTCCTTTATTCCGGCTACATTCGTCACTTCATACTTACACTACTACGCGCATATTCTATCAAGCTAATAAAGCAATAGCAAATACCCTCGAACCATATCGCCTACCATCAATACGGACTTAGTCTAAAACGCCAAACACTATGTGACATAGGATTCAAATTTTTAAATAATAATCAGTAGGCTACATGTAGCATTTCTGTGAGCGTTGTTTTCAAATAACATATTCTCTGGGTAGGGATTCAACCTTTACTCATGGCGTTTAAATCGAACTCCCCCCCCCCCCATTCCACACACACACACACACACACACACACATACCGACAACTCAATGTCTGCAAACAATAGGACCTTTTGGTCTTAGATGTGTTCAGTAGCGTAGCGAGAGGGGAGGGGGGGGGACATATGTCCCCGGGCACCGACCTTAGGGGGCGCCAAAATGGGTTGGAAAAATAAATTGAAAGGTTGAGGGGGGGGGGGTGCAAATCGAAATCTTGAGGGGGGGGGGGGTGCAAATCGAAAAGTTTGTCCCCGGGCGCCGGGAAGGGTCGCTAAGCCTCTGGATGTGTTACCTCATTTACAGTAGACCTCTAACTAAGTCAAGGGGAAAAGTTGTTATAAAAAGTATTAAACAGCATATTAATAAAAGTCCTTCAAATTTATTTCATGCCACTGGTTAAATGTAATCTTTATACCAAGTCACTATCACCTCAACCTTTCCATAAACCAGGACATTTTACATTTTTATTTTGTAAATGTCACTAATGAGTGACACTAGACTAGTGACGTCACAGAATCCTTTTTATACTGTATTTTTTTACAACTTGTACGTAAATATTTTTTTTCCTGTAGTTATCTCTTCATCAGCAAAACAATTTTAACTCTGTTCTGCCCGCAGTCCAAAAGTTCTCGAGATTACTCTCCCCTTGGTCAATTCAGTCTAGTGACGTCACGCGTGGCGACGGCTCGAGATTCCCGCGAGCTCAGCTGACGTTTTACCGAGATAACTGTGAAGTAGTTATCTGCGCTTGTCTGCGTATACCCATTAACCCAGGTTAGTCAAGATACTTTGTGAATATGTGAGGGAAAAAAATATATATTTAAAGAAAAAAAAGAGCACTGCTTTTTTTTTTTAAGACCTAACTTTTTTTGGTCAATTTCAATGTGAATTTAGGTCAGTTTTTCTTCTAGACATTTTTCTCTAGAGGGGGGGGGGGGGGCACTTGAATTTTCTGGGGTGGGGGGGGGGTGTTCAGATGGTGTGACGACATACTTTAGCATCATAAAAAGCAATGTTAGAAAAGCCGTTTTAGCCGTTATTTCGCGTTTTAGAAAACTGTTTTAATAAATTGTAATAGGAATTGATTAAAATACATTATGCTGACGGAGTTCAGAAAAGATTTAGAAAAAAAATCGATGTTTAAAGAAAATTTTTAAACCTACACATTATTTGCGTATTAAAAAATGTAAAGAAGGTAAGTATTTCGTTTTTACAAAGTTGGGCTTTCCCGAGCTCAAAGTACACCAGATAATCGCAACTCACAGCGTAAAAATTTAGGAGGAAAAAATCTAGATCTAAATCTACATCTAGATCTAGAGATCTAGTCCCTCACGCCGCAGACGTGCCGAGGCAGACGATTACCGTATATTATTACTGCGTCCAAAGATCGCGACGGCCGGGGAAAACTGGCGCGTGCAGCCTTGCACGAATTTCGACATCGTCTTCTAGGTCACCAATAAAACTGGCGCGCCCATTGGCTGTTTACTCTGGCAGGTGTGTCATCGCCAGCCAATCGGCGTTCAGCAAGCGGGGAATGAAATCTATAAATACAATTTCGCAAACCACTCGCCAAGCAAATTTCAAGAGCGATAACAATTGACGTTCCTACGGAGTTGCGTGCGTTTCATAACGATTATATAACAGCGAAACGTCGTTTCTAAACTTCAAAATTTATTTACAGCTTGTGAAGAAATTTCTACAAAAGTTATCAATGGGCACTGTGAATAAAATTTCAAGCAATTTCGACGCACTGAGGTTAGTAATTTTTTTTTTTAGTTTCTTTTTCTTTTTTTTTTCAGCTTTGAAAATTTTCTTTTTATTATGCGCGCTTTACGGCTTGATATTTTGTGATATTTTATAACAAAGAAAACTACTACTTCAACTTTAAATTATACTTAAGGAATTAAATTGTGTTTTACATTTTTTAAAAATATTTTTATATTTCATGATTTTTAAAAATATTTTTATATTTCATGATTTTTTTAAAACTAATTTTTAAATATTTAAAGTTATTGTTCGGTCCTTTCTAGATAATGAACAATTTTTTAACAAGTTTTTAAAGTGTAATTTTAATTTCTATTGCAGAATGCACCATTTCCAATTCTTTGCAATGGTGGTCATGGTGTGCTTTGTTAGCTTCCTGCTCTACCCATCACGACGCAGATTGGAATCGCCCAGTGTGCTCTATGGTATGGTGCATCTAGGGAGTTTCAGCGCCAATTTTGGTGCGCAGCTTTGGGTCACATTAGTTGCAGGTATGCATAGTTTTTTTTTCATTCGATAAATTAATTAGCTTTTAATAATTATTTTTTTTTTGCTATTAACTTTTACTGAGTCTATAAGATCATAGTTAAAATTTTACTTTAATTAATATTTAATGTTTTTAAAACTTTAACAAACAAAAAATCTATGCCTACCAACGGAAAATAATGTTATTTGTTTCTCTGCTTCCCCGTCCAGGTCTGACCATGTTTTACAGTCTGCCACGTCACATGTTTGGGAAAGTCCAGTCCCGCCTGTTTCCCATGTTCTTCCTGTGGAGTCTCGTCTGCTCCGCTATGACGCTGTCGACCTTCCTGTCCCAGCATCCTTCAGACACCTGGGATAACTCACAGATAAAACAGGTGAGTGCTCACACCACGCATTTTAAAAAAAAATACTTATTAAAACATCGATAGGGCGTATATGAAATGTTCCCTTTTAGAAATTGGCGGTCCATGGGGGGGTAGTGAAGTCGAATTCACCTGCTTTTTGTGACCTCAAAACCCTGACCATATCGCCGATCAAAACCCTGACTTTAATCCTCACCAACGATACTTAACAGCGATACAAAATCGGTATTCGATGCGGCTAAGTCCTGACGGAATTTCTATATGAAGACCCCCCCTCCCTTCTAAAGTATCACTAATCTATAGGTTGGCCATTTTTTTTTAATAGCTGAGTTAACTCATATTAGTTAGGTTATTTTGGTTTTTTTAAATTTAGGCATTAACGCTTCCACCACTGAATTCACAATTTATTTTACAATATTAATTGAAGTGGTTAATATGGGATGCAGGAATGGTGGTGGTGGTGGTGGGGGAGAGGGCGGGGGGGGAGGGGTGGATACGCGTCTAGTGTAGATCTATTGAGTCATCTTTATATAAACCATGTCACGAGCAAAAAGTTAAGCCCCGCCACTTTTTGTCAGGTCTAATTTAATACGCACGCAACCTTGAGGGTTAGGATCAAAGGTACCGAACTACAGAACTTTTCATGCAAATTATTAATGTCAACTCCTAATCTCACCCACTTCCATAAAAACTAAAAGTGTCAGTTTCATACCCTCCTTTTATAATCTTGCTGGGTGGTGGTAGGGGGGGGGGTCTTTTGGGCGGGACTTATTTGGAAAAGGTCTGAAAATATTATAGGGTTAATAAGTGCTATAGTTAAAACTCGACCCCAATGGCTTATTATGTTGTAAAATCTAAACGTAAATCCGTAACCATTCCCATAAATATAATCAATTGTTATTCTCCAAATTTAGAATTAAACGATATTTATCTTTTTGTTTTTAGGTTGTGGCTTTGTCCGTCTGCTTTGTGACTGCTGCCCTCAACTCTATAGTAGTCTCCCCTCTAATCGTGAGCGCCATGTTGAAAACTTTCAAGATGGAGGTGGACGCCGGGGTAGGAGATGTCGTCGGCTACGCAGACATGAAAGAGCTCAAAAAGAACCCTCAGTACTACGAGTCCTACAGGATGTTTCGCCGTTGCCATGGAGCCAGCGCCATGCTTGTCGTGTCATCGTTGATAGCCAACACGGTGTATCTATACTTTTTAACCAGTTTATGTTTACCTTTATGAAGCGGAGAGTCTAACCATTAATAATATTTCTTCTTGTGATAATTATTTAAACTGCTATTCAATTTTATAGGCAATGATGCATAATGTAAGCATACGAACAAAATTGATCTATCTGTATTCTTTAGTTTCCAAAAATTCAAATATATCAAAAACAATTTATTTATATATTCAATTGACAAAACTGTTTAATTAGACGATTTTAAAGTATAACAGTAATAAATGAATAAATCACAAATTCTGAAATTAAATAATTGAGAACACACGAACCCCAAAGTCTATAAAAATCTGTATTTGGTCAAAGGGAATTAATCAACAATTTACTTTGTTCCATAGTTTGTCATTTATTACCTTCCTTTAAATAAATAAAAAATTTGAAGAAATAGAACAAAATATTAGTAGCAATTCTTTTACTTAAATATTATTTGTCTGTTATTTTTTTCATATCATGTAAACATGGCTGAATAAATGTATAGAATAGTGGAGTTTTTATAGCTTGCATCAAGCAGTAAATGTTCTAGACTTAAATTTTTGGCAGATTTTTCTCCCCATTGGGACCAAATCAATAACAACTGTGTTAAGCGTATAGCAAGTGTACACAGCTGGTATCTGCCAAATATGTTTTGTGTTCAGAATGTAAGTTGGAATCATGACATCAGTTTCCTAGAATGCTTGGTATTATGAATGGTTGCTATGTGTCACCAGTGGTTAAATGTGTCACTAATGGCTAAAAAGTGTATCACCATTAGATACTGTGTTAGGATGTGTGATCTCACCATGTACATAGAACAAACACTGTACATAAATGTCCTATTTATTTATTATTATGGAGCTAATATTTCAATACTGATTAATATGGCGATGTACATATGTATACACATTTTCAAATGTATTTTTTAAATATTGTTTTAGATAACAGTAATTTGTAATGTAGTAATTTTTCTTACATTTTAAAAATGTTCAATAGTTAAGTTTTATAATTACTTGTATCTTTGACTACCCAGTGAAATGATTTGTTTGATGTTAGCCAAAACTATCCAGTGTTTTTATAACCTCCGTCCAAATAAATTGCTTCTGTGTCCAGGTTGGGCTGTATAAGTATTTACAACTGGCATTAAGCCGTCACCTGGACAGGTATTTGAAAGGATGGTTGAGAAATGTAGGTGTGAGGTAGATGGAAATATTTTGAATAATAAATTAGAAAATATTTGTAAAATTGTCTTGACTCTCTTTCTTGTATATTAAAATTAAACTTTTTAGATTTGTATTTTGTAAAAAAAATTAATTAGCTATAGTCGGATGGTAGGGCTTAAGTTGAAAGTCTACAGTTCAGATCCCTGGCTAAGTCTGCGTGACATCCCAGCTCTGATGGGTACCAGATACATTTTTGTATCTGTCATATGCAGAGGTGTCTTGGGCACATAAGGAAAAGATAACAAAACCAGTTGTTATATTAAACACTCCCTTTCCATATTGGAAAACAGGTAGATGCTGAAGTGCCTTTTTAATGTTAAAAATTATAACACAAAAACATTTACAGCAAGAATGCAAGGGAAACAACTCAATAAAAAGACAAACTTTTAATCTCTGTAGCAACAAAGACAGGTACCCTGTCAGTGGGTACTGACATGACTACATCACTACATTAACAAGACATCAAATGTAAACTGTGTAGACATAACTACATGAACAAGTTACATTTTTTATCATCAAATATCACATCAATTATTTAAGACAGTTCCTCAAGAACAAAAACTTGCCCTGGGAACAGCCCTGAAATAACCTTTACACTAAATCTAAACTGAACAAGTTGAATCTATACTGAAAAACATTTTGGTAGATTAGACCACCTAGGATTCAACATTTTAATTTTTTACATCTAGCCTTTCAAACACATATTCCATTTCTCTTGTTTAAATACATTAAATATAGAAGGAGTTGCATTTTAAGTAGACATACACAGAATAATAGAAAGATTGAGATTTAAGTCACATTAAAAATTTGGTTATCATTCGCTTAATCAAAGTTTACAAGTCATGTGTTTAGTCATACATCCATTTAACAATTTTTGTTTTTGGTTATTTTATCAGTAAAAGAACCAACAAGATAGTGTAAAATTTCTAAAACAAAACAGTTCCTTCAATTTAGTGTACATAGTATTATCAAGAATTTTTAGATAACATAAAATGCAATATTTTAGCATTTTTTAGCAACCGTTACAATAACTATCTTTTGAAGCATACAAAATTACAATTTTTGTCAAAACCAACTTGATACATCAACTCAAGTACAAGAACTCTGAATCATTTATGTACTTAAAAAAAACAATTTGGTACTTTCATACAAACAACTTTACCCTAAGTTTTGTTTTCTAGCCAATTATTGCCAGGGCATAGCTCTAATGTAAATAAATACCCATTCATGACAAGTATGAGAAAGCTAGATATGTACCCACAACCATTCAGTCAACCACAGATGAGCTTGTCAAAATGTTTCTCAGCCTGTTCTTGTAACTCTACCATTAGCACTAACAACATAGTATTCTATATCAACACAGTGATAGTAAATAATACAAAAACCTAGCAATTGTGCTATGAAAAGTCATTAGCTTTCGAAACCATACATTCTGTTAAAAAATATTTGAATTTAGAGCTACAACTTCAAAGAAATGAATTACTGGCAGTCATTATGATGTAAGCAAATGTATAAACTAACTAATTGAGGACCAATTGAATTCGATAAAACTGTATATATTTCAGTTTAGCTTTGGTTTAGAACAGTAGATAAACTTCAGTAAACTTTAGCTTATCAGACTTGAATTTAAATATCTCCTACATCTGTAAAGAGAAACCAATTTCCCTACAACTCAAGTGAACCTGGTTTTGTGTCTAGGACCTCTACAAATTAGTCTTGATATCACTTCTATATGAAATTATCAGAGATGAGCCTAGGTGAGATGTCATTATGATTGTGATTCCATCCTCTGTTTGATATTTGTAAGCAGGGCATCACAGGTCTTTTTAGCATCTCCCAGCAACATGGATGTGTTGGGCTTGAAGAAGACGGGGTTGTCAACAGCAGCATACCCAACACCCAGAGTTCTCTTCATCACGATACACTGGAAGTGACAAGATGAGATAGCCATAACAAACAGGAGAAATTGTGACAACAGTTAACTAATAATATCCAAGTCAAAATGGGATGAAAAGTGACACGTAAATACAGAAAAAAACTGCATAAAACTAATATATGTGGGTAAAACAAACTTATAATACTTAAGAGAAAACAAGAATGGTGAAGTGTTTACTTCAGAGAGACCAGTTACTTCTAAAGGCTTAAGTAGATTACCATACATGATTTGTTTTCAAGAGTTCCAAAGAAATTATTATAAAAACATCAATTATATAAATGATTTATCAAGCACAGATATTCATGTAAAAGAATTGCACCACTAATTAAAGCATATTGGCAAGGCTTACTCGGGTGAACCAGCACAAATTTTAAATGTATTAGAAAATTTCCCTTTATAAAAAAGCGACTCAAATAAGCCATGGCATCTCTAACCTGTTTAGCAAGCCATACTCTTATCATAGGCATGTCAGCAATAATTTCATTATTTTGTCAGTAATATAAAAAATCCCCCCCCCCCCCCACCACCACCTAAAATTTAGTTAAAAAATGCCCAAGTGCCACTAACCTGTTTAGCAAGCCATACTCTAAGCACAGGCATGCCAGCAATGATAGAGTTTGGATCCTCCTCAGCTGCAGAGTTGACTGTGTCATTAGCTCCGATGATGAGAGCTAAATCAGTCTCAGGGAACTCATGGTTAAGCTCATCCATTTCCTGTACAATGTCATAGGGCACACCAGCCTCAGCAAGCAGGACGTTCAGCTGACCAGGCATACGACCTTTTCAAGCACGACAAGTAACATTGTAAACACAGGTAGAGTCAAAGAATGGTGAGCAGGCAGTAAATAAGAGAAATTAATGAAACCAACTGATAGGAAATTAAGCATGGCATCAATTTTTCATCAACTCTTTTGTTGATTGTAGCTGGAGTAGTCTAATTCAAAGGAAAAGCTAATAATTTAAATGCTTGTGTACTATACTACATATTTGATTACCTAACTACTTTATAATCATTATGGTGTTGAGCAACCATAAAGGATAAAAGAAAGCTGTATGCTCAATATAGACATGTGATTATTATATATTTAAGTAATTTTTTTTTTATAACTCTTGAATAAATATAAGTAAATGATGTGGGTTGATGCTGTGATAAGGTGTGAATAGTTTAAAGTAATTTAAAATTATCAAAGAGATAGTTCAGATAAAAAGTTAAAAATAATATTTTTTTTTAAATGTTGACTGACCAGCAACAGGGTGAATTCCAAACTTGACATTTTTGCCCCTTTTCCTTAGTATATCAACCATCTCTGCAATGGGGTATTGGGCCTTGGCAACACACAGACCATAACCTAGAGGTTCAGTCATGAGAAAATTTATAACAGACAAAAACAATATAATATTAACCCTAAACTAAAAATGTTTAAAACAGTGAGAGCAATAAAAATATCAAGCCATTTTAAATCTTTTTCACATAATGAGTACAACAAAGAGAAAAATTCTTTCAAACCTGGAACAATGATGATATTCTTAGCCTCGTCAATCAAGTCTACAGTCCCATCAACATTGATCTCTGTGTGGGTTCCTATGATTTCCATAGGTTTGCCTTTGCCAGTGGAGCTGGTACCATAGCCTCCAAGTATCACATTTGGTAGTGAGCGGTTCATAGCCTATTCAAATGTACACATTTATAGCAAACATTTGCATACAAAAAAAAACACACTTTGAGCATATGAATTCAACAACTTTGAAAAATAGTTTTTATAAGAAATTTTAAAGAAGCCTTAAAATAGTAAATTAAAAACAAACATTCAGATATAAGGACCAGGTCTAGATGCATCTAAGTAAAGAACCCTTTTCAAACCGGTCCGTCCATGGAGCAGGTGATGTAGAAATAATCTGTTTCAGTGATTGCTGCTAATGAAGGAATAGGGTAAGATGCATCAAAACATCTATCTAAATGGTCCAGCTTATAACTCTCACCTTGCACATGATGTAAGAGAGGATAGCTCCAGAGGAACCAATCAGAGCCCCTACAATGGTCATCAGGTTGTTGTCCAGCATAAAACCTTCAGCACACAGGGCCCAGCCAGAGTAGGAGTTCAGCACAGTGATGACCACAGGCATGTCAGCACCTAATGTGGTGTAGCACAAACGTTGCAGTTAAATAGGTATGAGCATCTAGAAACATTATGTGGTTAAGACTGAAGAATTTTTAATTATAACATTCTGATTTTTGCCACCAAAAAATTTACAACAACAAAAAAAAAACCCAAGCAATTAAATTTGGTATAGAAACTTTTAAAATTTCAGGTTTGATTAGTAAATGTAAATTAAAAAGGACAAACCCACAATTAAAATGGGAATTTTTAGTTGTATTAACAGCAGAATAAGTTTCAGTAGAAATAAAAGCACTGGGATAGTATGCTTTTAATAAGAATGTGAAGTTAAAGTAAAGCTCCCTTTTCAAACCATGACGGTCTATGGGGCAAGTGAAATAGAGTTCACTTGTTTCTGTGACCTCGACATATGAAGAGATTGTGTGGGTGGAATCAGGGACGGTCTACTGACTTGAACCCGGATTCGAACTTGAGACTTACGGGTTAGTAGTCCAGCTCTCTACCCATAGATCACTCCGTCCCCGAATGTGATGTTGGTTACAAAAAAAAAACAAACCTCCAATAGCAGCAGTGAGAGTGACACCCATGATACTAGACAGAGCAGTGGTAGTGCCCAGCATGCTGAGCCCAACACTTGGGCTGTTGTCCATCATGTAGTAGGCCATGGCAGCAACGTTACCCAGCATCATGCCACCATTGAGATAGTTGCGGCCTGGCAGGAGCAGGGGGTCAGACTTGAGGACTCCTGGGAGACACATTTTAAAAGATTTTAAACAACATTTGTTAGGAATATAATGTAATAGAAAATAATATGAGTATCCCTGAAAAAAAAATGGATTGTTTAAATTGTGTAATCAATGATTGAAAAACAATCCTGTCGACTACATATTGCTAAGGAACAAACATTAACAGCACCATACTTCAAATATTGGTGAGCTTACCTTGAAGTTTTCCAAAAGCAATCAAGGATCCGGTGAAGGTGACACCACCAATGAAGGTCCCCAGGAAGAGGAAGGTCTTGATGACATTGGCAGCTGGGTCAGTGGCAAAGTGGGGCTGCTCCAGCATGTAGTTGGCAAAGCAGGTCAGCACAGCAGCTGCTCCCACAAGGCTGTGGAAGAGGGCCACCATCTGGGGCAGGTCAGTCACCTCCATACGCTTGGCCATCACAGATCCTATTAATCCACCTTTGAACCAAAAAAAGCTAATTGTACTTGCACAGCTTTTAACAGGGGAAAAGAAAAGTAGAGCGACCTAAGCAACCCTGGAGAAATACAGTGGGAGGAATAGTAAGGCTGCTGGGCTTAAAAAAAAGAGAGCTACACAAAGTAAAGTTTGGTGGAGAGATGAAGTTGCAGCCCTTTGCTCCTCAGGGGTATCAAAGGAATAAGTCAAGTCATTTATGCCATAAGCTTAGCTATATTTTTTTGCTGACTTCCAACATGATTTCTAGTCTAAACAGCAATATGGAAAAACAGATGTATACAATTTTACTGTCATTGTAACAGAAATCAAGAAAACGAGCCGACCCGTTTTATTTTCTACTTTTCAGTAATTCATAATTTTTGAATTCCACAGTACCAATGCTGCCACTGAAAATATTTGCTTTATAACACTATCAGATGGTCGTTAAGGACGATAGCTCCTCCTTTCCCCCTAACCCACCCCACCCCCCTTTGAAAGCAAACTCCTCTTAGTTACCTACCCTAAGTTTATAATCTTTTCAAACTACATTATCTGCCCCTAATAGCCGTCACTAAACCCGGCTCTATGATTGTAAACATTTAGCGTGAACCACAGTTCACCAGACTATGTAGTGGTGGGGGTGGTAGGGAGCGCGCTTACAGCTTGGTGTTTTCTATCGTCTCCAAGAAGAGAATGATATATATAGATATAAACAAAACACCAAGTTCTAATTATTTTATACTTGTATAAAACATGGGGTAACTACCTACCCAGACCCATGCAAGTTGCCATCTGTGTGAAGGTCTCAGCAGTTGGTTTCAGGATACCAAGAGTGGCAGCAACACCACTGGTCACACCAATGATTCCAAGGGTGTTGCCTGAAAGGATAGTGTACATCTACTTTTAACACATAATAATCTACTGGCCTTGTCCCCACAACAAAAACATACAGCCTAAATCAATTATGTTATGTGGTAGAATTCTCAGTTTAAAATTTAAAAATATGAGTTTTTATTTTTTATTTTTAACTTGCTTCTGCTAAAATACATCAATTATGCAGGAAATCAAAGTTCTAATTTTATTTTAGTATGACACTTTAGACAAGCATTTAAAGAAAAACTAATTTTAGAATTATATTGCCATTTCTTTTTCAAAACAACTGAAAAGAGCAGAATTTTGTTTTTAAAAGAGCAAATGATCTTTCCACATGCATGTTGTTGCTGACTGTTCAAAAGTGATAAAGAACTGAAGTCACATGTAACTCTAAGACTACAACAACCAAGCCTGGACCTAGGCTAGCCAACTTACCAAGTCTGCTGGTAGACTGAGAAGACAAGCCAGTTAAAGCTGACTGTTCTATAGTGATAAAAAACTGAAGTCACATGTAACTCTAAGACTACAACAACCAAGCCTGGACCTAGGCTAGCCAACTTACCAAGTCTGCTGGTAGACTGAGAAGACAAGCCAGTTAAAGCTGACTGTTCTATAGTGATAAAGAACTGAAGTCACCTGTAACTCTAAGACTACAACAACCAAGCCTGGACCTAGGCTAGCCAACTTACCAAGTCTGCTGGTAGACAGAAGACAAGCCAGTTAAAGCTGACTGTTCTATAGTGATAAAGAACTGAAGTCACCTGTAACTCTAAGACTACAACAACCAAGCCTGGACCTAGGCTAGCCAACTTACCAAGTCTGCTGGTAGACAGAAGACAAGCCAGTTAAAGCTGACTGTTCTATAGTGATAAAGAACTGAAGTCACCTGTAACTCTAAGACTACAACAACCAAGCCTGGACCTAGGCTAGCCAACTTACCAAGTCTGCTGGTAGACAGAAGACAAGCCAGTTAAAGCTGACTGTTCTATAGTGATAAAGAACTGAAGTCACCTGTAACTCTAAGACTACAACAACCAAGCCTGGACCTAGGCTAGCCAACTTACCAAGTCTGCTGGTAGACTGAGAAGACAAGCCAGTTAAAGCTGACTGTTCTATAGTGATAAAGAACTGAAGTCACCTGTAACTCTAAGACTACAACAAGCAGGCCTGGACCTAGGCTAGCCAACTTACCAAGTCTGCTGGTAGACAGAAGACAAGCCAGTTAAAGCTGACTGTTCTATAGTGATAAAGAACTGAAGTCACCTGTAACTCTAAGACTACAACAACCAAGCCTGGACCTAGGCTAGCCAACTTACCAAGTCTGCTGGTAGACAGAAGACAAGCCAGTTAAAGCTGACTGTTCTATAGTGATAAAGAACTGAAGTCACCTGTAACTCTAAGACTACAACAACCAAGCCTGGACCTAGGCTAGCCAACTTACCAAGTCTGCTGGTAGACTGAGAAGACAAGCCAGTTAAAGCGCCTACGCAGCACAAGGAAGCTGCCAGGTAGGCCATCTGGTGGATGTCTGGGTACTGGCCTGATGTGGCACAGTATCCGTATCCAGCCAGGAAGGTTACGGCTGGGATACCATACAGATATGAGTACTCTGGTGGATCAGCTGTGGATAAAACATTAAATCATTATCTTTACTGTTGATAGAACAAATTGAAGAATGAATTTAATAATCCCACTAGCCCAGAAATGTACATATTATAAATTGATAAAAATTGTGTACTCTTGAAATCAAGTAACAATATTCAAGTAAGATATGGTTTATAACTGACTTGGTCTCTTGAACATGTCCAACATTCTCTTGGTGACAACAAAACCACCTCCAATGTTGATGGATGAGATGAAGGCAGCCAGGGCAGCAAGAGTCTGTCAGATAAACATTTACACATTCAACAAAAATGTTCAACTGTTGAATGTTGAGGTGGTTTCAGTTGGTTTTATGTACCATGTCCAATAATGCCAAAATAATGGAATCTTATTAAAAAACTAGCCGTTGGTACCCGTTACACGTGAATTATTTGTCTATATATACACTTTTCTGGTTGCGTAATTAAAACTGTTTTTCTACATTCAAATATGTCTATATTTTTTATTTTTCTTCTTTAAATAAAATTGGGTCTATACATTTAAAACATCTACTATATTATTTTCAACAAAAGTCCATATCAAGTTCTCCATATATCGCTGAAGATTCTGATGTGATACCCTGCGAAATATATTCGCGGACAGAGAGAGAGAGAGAGAGAGAGAAGTGCACACATATATTAGGATGTTTGAGATTACTGGTAGTAAACTATAAAGTAATGTAACTTTTTAAAGTTAATTCTAATCACATATACCCAACCATAATCCATCCTAACCCTAATTCAGGCCCTAAAACTAAAACATATTTTGCAATACCATTAACAACCCCAGACACCTATAATAGGAAGAGTTGGTGGATGAGGTAAACTTGCAAATGTTAAGTTTAATTGCTATGTAAGGATCAAGAAGCCAATATAATACCTAGCAAACTTAACCTTCCCTAACTCAAGTAGTGCCCCCCCCCCCCCCCCATTTGGGCTAAATTAACAAACATAAGACCACTTGTGCTTAGTCTTGTGCTAAAGACAGGTTCAACTCATTCCCTCATGTTTGTAACTGTCTCCTGCTATAGCACTAAAGCAAACCTCTCATATAAAGTAGTATGCAGCAAAAGTTTGTATTTATATGATCAAGTAAGTGAAATGTCCTGATTATGCTCTATGACGAAGTATTAAACTAACAACATACCTGCAGCGTGTTAGATGGGTAGTAGCCACCTCCCATCAGCAACATCCCACCTACTGCAGTGATACCTGAGATGGCATTGGTCACAGACATCAGAGGTGAGTGGAGGGCTGGTGTTACACCCCATACTGTGTGGTAACCTGTTCAAACAGAAGTGGCCAGATCAAAATACAATATTAGCTTCATTGACACCTCACTATAAATTCCATTAAATATAAAATGTAAATACTAACATTCATGGAGTAAAATAAAAGCCAGTAGTGGCCAGAATCCTTTTTCCAGTTGAGTTTTCTGCATACAACTGGTTCTACTACATGTAGCATTTATGATTTAAGTAAAAAAAAAAAATAGAAGTTTGAAACTCACCAACAATGCCAGCCAGACCAAAAACATTAACCATGGATGTGAAGGCTGAGTTTGGTGATATCATTCCCAGGCCTGTGGACAGAACAAAAGGCAAACATAGCAGTTACAATTTGAAGACTGGTTTCTAAGAAAGCACAGGATGGGGTGTCCAAGCATAACGATTACATGTTCCCTATGCTTTTAGTTCAGATCTAATGTCCATCTGGACCCTGAAGTCTGAACAGTTATGACAAGGAAAAGTACAGACCATTAAGCATATTACCACCAGGCAGCTCCTTTGATAGCCAATTACTAATGTAAAAAACTGGACCGTCACTTTCGTGTGAGTAAATTAAAGATTCATTTTGTTTCAGCATTTTCATGAAATGTGACAACACTTACCAACCATTCCACCGAGGCCAGTGGTGTACATGAGAGAATCTTTCAATGTGTTAGCAAAATAGTTGGGTGGAGGAGGTGGTTCTTTCACTACAGCTTTAGCAGCTGCCGGAGCAGGGGCAGCTGGGTCCACTTTAGGTGGAGGTGGTGGCCAGAGCAGCTTGCCCTAATACAGTAATTATTTGCATCAATGTATGCCACATTCAGGAAACTTTGATGCAAAACATATTTAAACGGAAATGTTTTAAAATCTGACATGTATACAACATTCAAGAGACTTCAATGCTTAAAATCTATGCCATTATTTAAAAGAAATATTGTAAAATTTGACAAAAAATTTGGCTTACTTCTTGTAAAATAATAGAACCTCTGACAACCTCATCTTCCAAGTTAATGTTGTAATGATCTTTTTCACCTGTTTAAAATTTAAAAAAAAAACCAACTAAAACTACAATCAATACAATAACATTGTAATTACAATGCTATAAATAACCAGAAGCTAGTAAAAAATAAATGAAAACTATATTAAACCAGTACATACCAAAGGATAACAAAAGCTTGCTGATATTATTAGCATACAATGTGGAAGACTGTGTGGGCAAGCGTGAGGGCAGATCAGTGTAACCAATGTGGACGACATCCTTGTAAACATACAACTCTCCAGGTTTTGTGGTCTCAATGTTGCCACCAGCTTCAGCTGCAAGATCTACAATAACTGATCCAGGTTTCATGCTTTCAACCATGGCCTAGAACGTTAACATTATACTGGTCAGCAATGATACAACAACCAAACTCTACAACAGACTGATACTAAATAATAATTAATAGATTAAAAAATTGGTTTTCTTTATTACAATGTACTAGGGTTTGATACATTTATAACAAATCCCAAATTTTAAACCTAATATATTTGATTATCAAAGTTTGATAGCTTTCAGTTTGAAAATTAAAATCATTTAAATTAAAAGATAAGATCAGACAATGCAAAGATATAAATAGAAACACTGAAGTTACCTTGGAGATAAGCTTTGGTGCTGGCTTGCCAGGAATGAGGGCAGTGGAGATAAGGATATCAATCTCTTTACACTGCTTGGCAAACAGTGCCATCTCAGCTTCATAAAACTCTTTGGACATTTCCTTAGCATAGCCTCCAACACCTTCTCCAGATTCCTGAAATACAAATGATGGAACATATTTCACATTCTACAGAATAGTCTCTAACACCTCCAGATTCCTGATAAACAACACTTAAAGCATGCCACATTTTTTAAAAAAATAACCTCTGACACTTTCTCTAGCAAAGTCCCCAGCTGTATTCTTAATTGATAAAATATTAAATATATCACCACAGAATGCTCAACTTATTATAGGACTGAACACACACAATGCACACATATAATTCCCAAAGATAAACTTGCCTTGAGATGCACTTCCAAGAACTCTGCACCAAAGGACTCCACCTGCTCCTTGACGGCTGCTCTGGTGTCAAAGCCTCTCACAATGGCTCCCATGTTTTTGGCCGTTCCAATAGCTGAGAGACCTGCTACACCCCCACCGATAACTAGTACCTTAGCAGGTGGGACCTTACCTGCAGCAGTAATCTGACCTAGAAAATGTAGATGTTTTTATCTTTATTAATGGGAACAGAATAAAACATGTACATTGATAGGGTAGTCTTCTTATAAAACAAAACAGCTACATGTCATTGTTTTAAATCAGGAACACATCACATTTTATATTCACACATTGATAATTAAGCTTTAATTTACTAAGCTGGAATCTGCCCATAATTTAAAAACAATGGGACTAACACATTTAAATTAGCAACTTCACAAAACAATTTATCGCTTTGCTAAGTTTAAAAATCGTATAATAAACTAGAAACAAACAACACTTCAATTTTTTTATATCAACCACTTAATAGTGAGCTTTCTCTAACAGATGTTTAACTTTTGCCACATTGGAAACATGCAACCTACCAGTAAAAAACCTGCCAAAGTTGTTGGCAGCTTCCACAACAGCCTTGTAGCCTGCAATATTGGCCATAGAGCTGAGGGCATCAAAGACCTGGGCCCTAGAGATGCGTGGCACACAGTCCATGGCAAATACAGTAAGCTGTTTCTTGGCCAACAGCTCCAACAGCTCTTTGTTTTGTGCAGGGTACAGAAAAGATATCAGGGTTCCTTTGTCACGGAAGTTGGCAATCTCCTCTTGAAGGGGAGCTCTGACCTAGAAAAAAAATTATTCATTTATACAATATCAATATGCTCTAATTTTATTTTAATTTATAAAATTGCGATATGATCTGGAAATTATGTTCTTTGTTTACCTTTAAGATAATGTCAGAGTCATAAACATCTTTTTTTCCCTTGATTTTGGCACCTGATGCAGCATAGTCATCATTCATAAACTTAGCCCCAAGACCTGCATTCTCTTCTACATTCACTGTGAATCCCTTCTTAGTCAGTGTTTGAATGGCTGAAGGTACCAATGCAACTCTGCGTTCATTCTGTAATAAAAATGTCAGTTATGTGGTAGATTTGAAAACAATCAGGTTCAGTAACTCTTGTTTTCTTCCTATTTGTTAAGTTACTGCCCCTTAATGCAGAAAGTAATCATTTATGAAATTTAGTTTTCCATGAAAATATCAACATTTAAAAAATCTATTTATTGAAAGAATAATATTCAGAATCAATTTTGCATACTGCACTACTCTTTCTTTAGAACATTAAAATAATTTTTCATTATTTCTAAGGTTGTAAAATATAGGCCAACTTAATCACTTAACTTACAGTAAAAAGTTCTTTTGGTACACCGATAGAGAGGTTCTTGTATGGTATGCCAGCAATTGTTTTTTCTTCAGCCTTCTGACACAACTGGCCACAAGCAGTGCGCAGGCCACGACTGCAGCGTGCACTCAGCTTGCAGACATGGCTGCCCATGTCTGCCATCATGGCGACTTTGTGTACTCGCAGCATGGTGCTGATCAGGCAGTGGTCCTGATGTTAAAACCTGAAAAAAAAATTTTAATTAGTAATATAGGATGTCCTACAGAAATGTGGTTTTATTTTTATTTTTTAAATGTTAACTGATAGTCATCTAAAAAAAAGTGCCTATTACTCTGACCATATATATAAACTTAAATTATTAATTAAGGAAGAGAGTTAATACAGTTTTAAATCCGCTTTTTACACATTTGATACAGTGATATGATACTAAAGTATTTACTGACTTAACTAGGGGAGGGTGAAATTAAATTCTATCTATGTAGGAATATATGAATATAGATCTATTTACGTTAAGCATAATGAAATGAAAACAAAAAGTTTGTAACTTCTTAGAGTAGGGTTGTAGTAGGGGTCTAGGCCTAACTTAACTTAGAGACTTTACTTGCACAGTCACTCCAATTTAATGAATTTATTCATAGGTTAGGCGTACTCTATACTCTAGCATTTTCATTTTCGCATACAAAATTAGATTATAACTCTAACTCTAGATCTAGTGACTTAATAGCCACACTTAATAGACGCCTAGATCTTGAATCTAATCTAAAATCTAGATCTGGGGGGGGGGGTCTAGCTAGATCTCTAGCACTTTTTTACAAGACTTCCACACTAGCAGTAGCAGAAGCCCTCTAGCTAGACCACTAACTCTAAATATCTGTTATTCCCTGGAATTACACTGTTAGTGCAAGCGAAGGTTTTTATTAACAAAAAAAGAATTTTCGTTTTGGTGCACTTATTATAAAACTAATGGAAACAAAGCAAAACAAACAATATGAAGCAAAGGCGTCCTTGTTCGAACTTGGAAGTCCGAGGACGTCACCATGAGAGTTATGGAGCTTTTTTGTGTTGAAAAACACAAGAATAAAATAAAAGGATATCGCCGGTGGAATCAGACAGCTGCATGGGTTATCTGTTAGTAAATTTCCTAATAGGTTTAGATTTTATATTAAATGAAATACACAATAAGGAATTATTTAAATACTCACCAAAGAGTGCCAAAGACTAAATTATTGCAGGAAAGCTGCAATAATTTAGTTACTGTGGAGACTGTGACCCCGAAAAATACCCTTGCGAATGGCCGCCACGGTACGCAGACCAATCAATTTACCAATAACGTGTCACATGGCTAGGGATTCCCTTCTGTGTAAGACTGTGCCAATTTTAGAATAGGTAGATTCACTTAAATATCGAAAACAAATTATTTCAACATGATTTAATTTAAGCATTTTTATCGTTTTACATATTTGTGTATTTGTTATATTAAATGTTAGCAACATTTTCAAGCTTAAGGTTTTTGGCTTATTTAATTTTAATTCCATACCATTACAATGTAGGCTCCCTATAAATGGTTTGACCCGATTCATTTTAATGTAGTCGTGTGTGTTCCGGTGCCTCTCCAAGTCTTTCAACTCACAAGTTCTCTAGGGTCCTGATAAATTTATCAATATGGCTAAGTCACTAGTTTCCATCGCAAAATTTGTGTCAAAAGTAGGCAGCAATGCACAAAATACAGCAGTTGTTGCTTTTGCCAACACCACCCAAACAAGAAACTGTAAGTACTGTATTTGTTTAACCCATTATTTTATATCTATTTACTACGGCTTGTGTGTCCTAGGTTGCCCTTGCTGAAGTAAAGCTGCTGCAAATTTTAATTATTATTTTCTAATCTAGGCAAGACTAGTCTAGATCTAGATTCTAGATCTACATGTTAAGAGGTAGTCTTGTCGCTTAAAATATTGATAACAGCAACTGTTCTTCTTACATTAATTTATTAACTTAGCGACTTAACGTCGACCCTAATCCTAACCCTACCGCCACCAAAGTCTCAAGCTCTAGATCTAGATCTAGATCTAGATCTAGATTCTAGATCTAGAAATCTAACTAGATCTAAGATCTACTTAAAAAAAAATTTAATACACTCAGAATCATGAGATATAAAATTAGCAATTAAGCTAATAAATTATAAAAAGGCCTATTATTAAATTATTATAAAACTATTAAAGTGTAACTTTCAGGGTGGGAGGAGAAGACAGTTTCTTCCAGGCATCTCTTTTGAGAGTAGGGGTTTAAGCCCGCCCCCCCCCCCCCACCCCCCACAATATCAAGTGCCCCCCCAGAGAAAGTCTGAAAGAAGAACTTGGGGAAGAGGCTGGGGTGCACTTCCATTTTTGGGGTGGAGGGTGGATTCTGGTAACAGTATTTTTTTTTCACTTGGTAGGGGGTGTATCATATCATTCTTCCCCCCCCCCCCCCCAAGATGCATGAAAGAAATTCTTTTTGTCCCACTGATATAATTCTAGTTCTGACAAGATTTCCTAAACACTATTAATTTCTAGTTGACTATTGATACCATTTTTAATTAATCTCACCTTCTTATAATAGGAATTTTATTTTTAGAGTTAATATTACTACTGACATTTATTAGGTTAGAATTAGACAGGTGACTCTAATTAAAAAATCAATTTGTTGTTTCAATGATAAAATTATTGGCATGTTGTTTGAAAAATGTTATAAAAATACTGAGTTTTTATTTTATTTTTTTAGATTCAAGCACAAAAAGGATTAAAGTCAGCAACCCAGTTGTAGAGCTTGATGGAGATGAGATGACTCGTATCATCTGGGAGAAAATCAAAGAGAGGGTAGGTTAACTTTTACACATACTAGATCTACCTGATGTTAACACACTGGGCCAGCTGACTACAATTAATCAGTCTGTTTGGTTGTATAGTAGATCCCATGTTTAGAGTATGTAAGGCATTGCTAAGTGCACCTAGCTCTATTAGGTACCTGGCTAGTTTGAGGATAGTAAAGTTACCTGGATGTCCTTTTATTATGCCTACATTATCTGCCCTATGTGTTACTTAGTCTGAATTTGAACTTCTTACATTGATTAAATGAGATTGCAATATGTACATGATATCTGTCATTTATTCTATACCAATTCTATCCCACAGCTGATTTTCCCCTATGTTGATGTTGACTGCAAGTACTATGACCTTGGATTACCCTACAGAGACCAGACAAATGACCAGGTGACCATTGATTCTGCCGAGGCCATCAAGAAGTACAATGTTGGCATCAAGTGTGCCACCATCACCCCTGACGAGCAGCGTGTGGAAGGTAATTGTAGTTTTTATTTTACTTTCAATTCATAAGGAAAAAATTACTTTTTATGTTCCCATACAGATTAGGATAAAAGTATTTGCTTACTCTACTTGTTCACCTTGTTATGTAGACCAAAGTCTTAGAGGTTATCACAGTAACCATATACACATTTCTTTAGTTTTTATGATTGAATTTTTTTTTTCATAAAAGAACACATTCTGAGCATAACAGTATTTATTCAGTTTGTTTACTGTCTTACCACTAGGGTTTAGAGTCAATATGTAGAATATGGTTAGCTGAAATTTCAGCAAAAATAAGATCTTTAGCATGCTTTGCTTGGGCTCAAGTCTCTAGGATGTCATTGAGTCAACTCAGCTGTAATGGGTTCCTGGCCTACGTTAAGGAAACTAAGTTAGCTAGTCATAGTACTGAGCACACCATCCCTCTGTATGCAGAGGTAATTGAAACAGATGAAATCTACTTCATCTGCCCCATGGGTCTTGGGCAAAGCAAAAATAAGAGTAAATATTGTTAGGTTTTAGTCCCAGCTATAAATTGCTTTACTGGTCTGTATCAAGAGCTTAGCAGAGAAGTATCATTGCTTATTATTGGTATTACTTTCTCATGCCTATTTGCTATACTTAACATTTAGTTTTTAATGTTATTATTCGTTACTGTTTTCATCTAGGCCTCTTTATACTACATACTGTTATGTTTATATTATTTTCATTACCCTTGCATACCCAACTTGAATGAACATGCCCTGTGATTATAATCTGGGGGTCCTAAAAATTACTTTAAAATCAGTCAAGTGAATCCATGGGGTAACTACACTACTTGGCCAGGAGCCAGTAAATTGGCTTGACACTACCTGTGTTGAGGCCTCTGGGTGACCTTAACCAATGACTTTTAGCTGACCTGAATTAGCTGCTGTCCCCCTTGAACAAAAGGGGAGAGAATTACCTAATACAGAAGCGGTTATCTGGAAGGGGAGGTCACTTGTTGAACACCAGAGTAGCCTCCCTTTGCCCCTTTGGCTACCTGTGGAATGTGCTGGCTTTGTCTGATTGCTGAAAAGAGTTGACCTTACTGCAGAGGTCACTTGGTTGGATTTCCTGTGTTTAAAATTAGACAACCCAGAATTGTGAGTGTGTGGAGGAGTGGGTAGGGTGGTGTGGTGGATACTTTTAATGAGAATATTGACCAGTTTTTAAGATGAAGTGTTGTGCAATGCCAGTGGTATTGTAACCTACACGACTTATATTAGTATGGTTGATGGCAATTATAGATAAGAGCAGTTGCTGTAACCTATGGCGATGTATGGTCCAGAAGTTAGCCCATACAAGCCATTATCACAGATGCACTGTCCTCCATTTGAGTCTTTGACTGACCCGACTTTTTCTGAAATGTTACCGTTATTGTAATACTTGACCTATTTCTGATTTTTTAAAAATTAAAGTAAAGTTTGCAGCATTCTAATCGAACATTTAATAGGTAATGTAGGCCTAAATAATAGACCGTGACTCTAAGGTGTGTTATCAATAGGGAGATGTGTTAAATATTTCGACATGTCTGTTATAGAGCTCATGACCGTCTATTTATTGGCGCCTATGTCCGTTTATTTGTTAGAAGCTCACAACTGTTTATGGGCTGTTGCTTGTAGGCCCATATATGTCCCTTGATTTTAGTTTCATAACTGTCTATTTATCATATTCATAGACTGGTGGCCATCCAATTTAACGTACTCTTGGCCGTCCATTTAGACTCATGGCCGTCCATTTAGACTCATGGCCGTCTAGTATTTTAGACTGTTGACCGTCCATTCATCGTAGACTCTCGGCCGTCCATATATTGTAGGTATGTGTCGTGGAACAATGTGACAGAATAAAGAGGTTTGTTTTACTTCAGCCACAGTTGGTGTGTATGTGCAACAGCTGCTAGTTAAATATCGAGCAGGCACTCGCCATCACCGCACTTGTTGATGTGTATGACGTGTAACACGCCCCGCTACACGTAACACCGTAGTCTAGTCGGCATTGCTTCCGTTCACCCACGTGGTTTTGAGTATAGTGTTAATCTGACGAATTGCGTCACCGACTAGGTAGATAACATTGTGTGTGTTAAGAAGGGGAGATAAGTACCAGATAACGAACGAAGGACTAAGAGTAACAGTACGTGGTTTCTGAATGCCTGAAAATCCTATGTGTTTTACACTTCGTCATCCCGCCCCCTTTTCAAGAAAGTATCCATTCGTCACCCACCTCCACAACACAAAGCCACACACACACATATATACAATATTCTACACACTCTGGACTTGTGTATACACGGAGAATATCGATGGCGCGTACACACGTGTTGCATGGGCGTGTGATCTTTGGTCCACATCTGAAGGTCAGGACTAGATCTAGATACACCTAGGCAACCAGGAACTGAGACTGTGACGTCACTGTTCCGACTTAGTTTCCATTGTGTCAGCACGATTTAAAGAACATAGAGGTTAGAGGCAGACTGAGGTGTCTTTCTACTTACATAGAGGTTAGAGGTACGATGATGTGTCTTTCTACCTTCTAACAGAGGTTAGAGGCTGTCTCAGGTGTCGTTCTGCTCATAGGCAGTTACATTTCTACCATAGATGTAAATGGCAGTCTCAGGTTACTTCTCAAAACATTGAATGTGACAGATAGCCTCAGGTGCCTATATAGAGTTAACGTTACATACAGCCTCAGGTGCCTATATAGAGTTAACGTTACATACCTTGTAGACATCATCGGCTTACGGCTGGTGACTTCAGATGTTTGTAAATTTAAAACTGTCAAGTAAACCAGCCAGAAAAAGAAATTATACGAAAATGTTAATTCTAAAGGTTAAAATATCGAGTCGACAGCAGAGGTCCAATGTTCCTGCATAGTTTGGTTGTAGATAATTAGATGTTCCTTCTCTTCGCTGTCTGTAAAAACCAGTTGGTTCTGTGACTAGAAAATTGTCAAATGGTTCAGATGCTAAAAGTTAAAAGAACGAGGCTAGCAAGGGACGTTCACTTGTGCCGTGGGATTAGTGTATGAATGTTGGTGTTGTGTAGGATGTTGTCGGTGTGGGGATGTTGATGTCGGTGTGGGGATGTTGATGTCGGTGTGGGGATGTTGATGTCGGTGTGTAGTGAAGTGTGTGCACACTATGTCAACTTCTTTACAGTCCAACTTAACAGCTTGCCACCTGACAGAGAGAAAAAAATACTCGCCCCCACTCTAAAAATTTATTGGCGGTTTTTTATTTTTATAAATTAAGTGGCTGGAATGGGTCCATCGTTTAAAACCCGAACCCTTTGCGATGTGTCCTTGTGTGACCGTCTCGCCTAACCGACTCTTCCACCCGACCCCCCCCCCCCCTTGTTGACGTCACAGTGTTTACAAAAGTAAATGGCTGTTAATAGCAGACGCTTAGACTTTTATTCAGGGTCGATATCCCTAGCGCGGCAAAAGTGTACTAACATCGACGTTATGAATTCTTGCGATTTGGAAGACTCTAGACTAGAACACATTTAACCGAAAGGTTGAAAAATAGTTTCAGCTTATGTCGTAAGGGTCCTTCTACAAAACTTGTTTTGTTTTTGTAATTTAGGTTTAGGTGTTTTGAGGCCTAGATCTCGTGTAGAAATAAAATTTTATGATTGTTACGAATGTTACGTTTATGTGATATAGGCGTGTTACGTTGACAGGCAGATATCGACCTGGTCAGGTAACTGTACACTTCCCCCACCACCTGTCAACTGTATGTGAACAGTTACCGGCGACCCGCCACTTTCACTGTTTCCTGTTCGACTTGTGTCTGCTACATTACCTTAACTGTGACTTTTGACACGTGTTGCTTCGTAGTCGTCACCCAAATCATAACGTACTGTTTAAATACTAGAAAGGGGCATTCACTCTAGATGGTTTGTTTACGTCGGCAAAAGTTGTGGATCAAAGTGCTGCTGCGTATGAGTTAAATATGCGTTTCGGACATTTCTTTATTTTTTACAAAAAGGTGACAGGTCAAAGAAGAAAAATGACGGGGGGGGGGGGGGGGGGGATTTGTGTATAACAGACGATACAGAGATATATTCTTACCTTCACTACAAAAATGTCGGCGTAATGTGGGGTGTGTTATGGGGTTAGTTTAGGGCTAGGATTTATCTTTAGGATTGTAAACGTTTCCGTAAATGACAGATGCTGTCGCTATTATCTTTCTCTTTGTCGTTGTTCAGTGTCATGTACTCAAAACACTATTCGGATATTGGGGGGCGGGGGGGGGGGGGGGGTAAATAAGATTTTGGGTTATATTTATTAACTGGGCAATGGTTCGGTCGGACTGTTGTTACAAACATTTCTAGCAATGCCGTTTGGAGGTATCCAGTTGCGTTTGTCAATCCTTGTGGGTTTTTTTTTTTTTTAGTATTAAAGTAACTCAATCAGCTAAAGAAGACTTGCTAGCCGTATTAGTTTGTTTGGTTGATGTGTGAATGGCCCGATGCACTTTTTAAATACTAGATCTATACCTAAAAAAAAAAACAGCAGCAGAATAATGGTACCAATAGTCTAACGTGTGTGGTAGTCTCCACACGTTTGCAGTGTATGTGTATGGTTATTAATTATCCACACTAATAGGATAGGACATCTGTGGCACATTGCTTACGTCACAGTCGGTGTTGGCGAAGCTGCCAGTCCATTCTGTTCCTACTTTGTTAAGGCACCTACCAAAATACATTGTGTTCGTGCTATGATTTTATCGAAACTATGAGTCAATTCTATTCCCACAATTTAACTGCAGAAGAATAACTTAAGTAGGTCTAAAATCGGGGTTATCGCGGTGACCTCTGTCAGTAATTAATTCCCCGGCACGAGGTCTAGTCTCGCCACCACTAACACACTGTAATGAGTGTTCAGTTTTTAAATTACACTCTAGATTTGAGTTGTAGTGATACGGGCTCGCCACCACACACTGTAATGAATGTTGAGTTTTTAAATTACATTCAAACATTTAGTTTTAGTGATACGGGCTACCCTCCACTAATACACTGTAATGAATGTTGAATGTTTAAATTACATTCAGTGTTACTGAAGCGATGCCTGGAAGAAACTCTGATTACATTCTAGCATTTAGTTGTAGTGATACGGGCTCGCCACCACTAACACACTGTAATGAATGTTGAATTTTTAATTAAATTACATTCTGGCATTTAGTTGCAGTGATTGGGGCTGAAGCTTGTTTGACAAGTCTAAGATAGCATTGATTAGCCTGCTATGGTACTTTTATTGTTGCGGTTAATACATTTCCCATACATGCAGCCCGGTAACGTTTAATGCATGTCTCATATAGGCAGCCCGTTGTCACGTTTAATACATGTCCAGTTATGTGGCCAGTAGTCACGATTAATACATATCTAATATATGTAGCCTATTGTCAGGTTCAATATACACCCCCATACATGTAGCTTGTTGTCGGGATTAATACATGTCTCATATAGGTAGCTTGTTGTGACTTTTAATGACGTTTAATATCTAGCCTATTGTCATTTGTAATGCCCATCCATGTACCCTATTGTGACGTTTAATTAATGCGTGTCCCCTACACATAAAGCATGTGGTCGCCACGTTTGCCAGCAGCTGTTGATAAAGAATGGAGTAACTCCCCCTGACACGTCCTTCTACGCATGCCCCAACATGGGTCTCAATGAAACAAATTAGGTCGTAAATAACACAGGTCAACGAGGTCAAAGGCTAATTCTGTTGTGTATGTGGGAAGGGGCGGGGCTGTTTTGCCTTATGGCTTAGGACAGTTACTAGGTTTAATAGGTGGCAGAATTATTTTTTTTTCCTAAATATATAAAATTCAACTGGGTGTTGAATATCACATGCTGATCGTTGTATTTTCTTTACAGAAATCTTAAAGTGTTGGGCTGAACATTTTTTGTATGCATGCATTATATAATTAATATTTGATTGGTGGCGTATTTGTAAAGCAGCTGGAATAAATATTAGGGCTAGTAATCACCAAGCACTGTTCGGATACCATTTTCTATATTGGTCTGCATGTCAATTATAACTATCAAACGGTCGTCTTACGTAGTAGATATACTCTCGCTGTCAAAAGCACAATGTACTAAATCTTATCAAGTGTCGTGTTCTAATGCTCAATGGCCCTTCAGTTCACATCGCGATGGTATTCGCCTTGATATCAACAGGTTATCGATCATACCTTAGCCTTGTTTGTTTATGATTTATCACCTGTATCAAACCTTGATCCAGTTGAGTGGCCTTGATGTAGAACAACACCTAAATACCTGATGGTGATTCACACGTCGGTGTCAATAAATAACTAGGCTTAAGTATGACTGGCATGTTTACTTATGATAACTCAATTGGTTTGTTTAGGCTTGTGGCGATGGGTCCTCTAAACTCGTTGACTCGTATTCCCGTTTTTATTGTTTAAAACGGGCGACACTTGGAACAAGTGTACTTGAGTACCATGACTAAAGTATACAGAAATTAAGATTAAAACTATTATTTGGCGTGTGCTTTATTTTAAGTATAGCAGTTTTATATATCTGATTTTATGCGTTATGTTCACTTATTGTATTTGGTATGGTCAAATATTTATAAGTAATGTATTAATTAATTTAACTATTAATATTAGTACTTATTATTCAATCCTAATATACGTTGGTCTTATTACTTAATTTTTCTCCTATTTGGCTTATATAAATCTGATGACTAGCCTAGAGAAAACTTAGCCCCACATATCAACCATAGTAGCACCTGTTCGTTCTCCATTCCCAGCATCCGGTGGTAATGGATTGCCCTAGATTTTAGCCAAAGAAATTCGATAGTATCAGTGCTATGGACGTGTAAATTAAATAGAATAAACTTAGCAACACATCACCAGTGACCCGCATAGTCACCCGGCTATCGCTGGATTATTGTTGTGTGTTCAATGGGAGATAACAATGAAATAAACACCTAAACTCGGGTTTCTCTCCCTTGATTTTTTTTTTTTAAAGTCTGGATGGGTTGTTTTTTTCCAAATGTAAACACATTTATAGTGATATTTCAAATGGGGTTTGTTTAAAAAAAAGTTGATTTTAGGGTTGTTGTTTCAAAACTATTTTTTTCAAACTGTAATGAATACCATTTTTAAAATTTTATAACAGCTTGTAGCTTTTGTTTTAAAATAAATATTTTTTAAAATAAATATACATTCTTAATTTTTTAATTTTTTTTTCAGAATTCAAGCTCAAGAAAATGTGGCTTAGCCCTAATGGAACAATCAGAAACATTCTGGGTGGTACAGTTTTCCGTGAGCCAATCATCTGCAAGACCATCCCACGTCTGGTCCCTGGCTGGACACAGGCTATTGTCATTGGTCGTCACGCTCATGGTGACCAGGTCAGTATTTCTTTTGACATCATTATTATCATCACCTTACAGCCACCCACCTCAACTACGAACATATATTGTAGTCCCTAATGTCATCCCTCACCTGTCATCTTTAATCTCCCATCACCTGTCATCTTTAATCTCCCATCACCTGTCATCTTTAATCTCCCATCACCTGTCATCTTTAATCTCCCATCACCTGTCATCTTTAATGTCATCCCTCATCCATATAGTGCTAGTTTCCTAACTGCAGCAATAATTTTCATTTATTTAATTAAATATGAAGTAGAATGGCAATGAAATAAATGGCTAATATGCAGTTGTTTACAATATAGTGAATGTTGACTATTTCAGTATAAAGCAACTGACTATGTAGCTAAAGAGGAGGGAACTCTAGAACTAGTTTTCCACCCAGCCAAGGGAGGTCAGCCTGTCAAGATGCCAGTGTTTACCTTCAAGAATGGCGGAGGTGTTGGCATGGCTATGTACAATACTGATGAGGCAAGGAGTCTTTTTTAAATAGTTGATTATTTATAAGCATTTGAATTTTTTAGAGTACCTTTATCAAAAGATTTTTTTATAAAGATAATTGATCTTCCTATAAAGTAACTTATTTATATTGTTGAATAGATATTCCCAGAGTATTGTTTTCTGATTGTTTTCTCTTGTTCCATGATTTAGTCTATCAATGGTTTTGCCCATGCCTGCTTCCAATACGCCTTGATGAAAAGCTGGCCTCTCTACATGAGCACAAAGAACACCATCTTGAAGAAATATGACGGCAGGTTCAAGGACATCTTTGAGGAGATTTACATCAGGTAACTAGTATTATCTCAGGCTCGGAAGTTTGAATCCGCCCAAGTCTGAGTGGTACCTAATTCATGATAGAGAAACTAATGCAGCTGGTCATAGTGCTGACTACAATATTTTCCTGTTTGCCAAGGGCATTGAAACAAATTCTACTTCATCCAATGACGAACTAGTCTAATAAAGATTTAACATTTTTGGCTATGCTCACTTAGTTCAAAATATTTTTGAATACTGAATATCTTATTTTAATTTTTTAAAAACCGTAAGAACAAAAAAAATTCACAAATGTAAGAAACTTCACTAAAAAGAAAACTTAACAAAAAAAATAGAATCTGTGTTTAAAACACAAAACTTAGCTTTTTAAAAAACAATACTTCACTAAAATATGAAACTAGTTATAACAAAAGCACTTACTAAATTGTAAATCATCTTTTTCTGGCAGCAAGTACAAGCCAGAGTTTGAGAAGAAAAAGATCTGGTACGAGCACAGACTCATTGATGACATGGTGGCCCAGTGTCTCAAGTCTTCAGGTGGATTTGTCTGGGCCTGTAAGAACTACGACGGTGATGTGCAGTCTGACATTGTCGCTCAGGGTAAGGATTTTGTTAAAAATGTTATTTGAATGTCTTTTCTGGAATACATCAGAGTATTTACATAATTGTTTGCTAGTATTGACTTAAATTTATATGATTATAGAGATCGTTGAAATACTATAGTGGTCATTCTGTTTTGTACTTAGACCGGTGTCTATTATAACTAAGCTTCAGGGTTTTTAAAGTCTGAAATGGAAAAAAAGGAATTTTCAGGCTTGCAAATTTCTTTAAAAGATAAGGAGATTAAAGTTAATTTAAAGAAAACAAAAAAAAATAAAAAATTGTAATGTTTGTAGTCCTTAATTGTCAGTCTCAGTAAATATTTTTTGTGACTTAGACACAGCCTACACTTGAAAATGTATATATTGCTTTATATTGGGAGTAATACATGCATCAATACAGTGTTAATTATGGTAATTGCTAAAACATGTATTGGGGATAAAGTTTGTCAGTTTTGTTTTAAAATGTGTTGGGAAAAAGACAGTATGGACCCTGAAGCTTGAAGTATTGTCATACACACCAATGTCATGAGTATCTCACAATGGTTTAACAGTTGCAACTATTTTCCACCAGGCTACGGATCTCTTGGTTTGATGACCAGTGTGTTGGTGTGTCCTGATGGGAAGACTATTGAAGCTGAGGCCGCTCATGGTACAGTCACCAGGCATTACAGGGAACACCAAAAGGTAGGGCCTGTACACAATGAGGGTTGTACATAATCAGTATTGTAGGGTGACTGTATGTACACCACTAGGGCCTGTACACAATTAGGGTTGTACATAATCAGTATTGTAGGGTGACGGTATGTACACCACTAGGGCATGTACACTATTAGGGTTGTACATAATTAGTATTGTAGGGTGACTGTATGTACACCACTAGGGCATGTACAGAATTAGGGTTTTACATAATCAGTATTGTAGGATGACTATGTACACCAATAGGGCCTGTACACAATTAGGGTTGTACATTATCAGTAATATAGTGTAAATTGGAATTTTAAAATGTGAAGAAATTTTTATTTACATAGCTCAGAATTTTTTGTCTGTGTCTGATTTCTAAGTTGGGATCTTAACCATTAATGTCCCATTCATTCTACCAAAACTCCACCCATGACGGCCCAATGTAAGGAGCATAACTCTGTATGATCAAGTGAATAGTTTCACAAAATATTTGTTTTTGTCTAAATGAAATTGAAAATTAAGATAAAAACTACTGCTTAATGTTGGGAATAAACCTGGCTTTCCAACAGTATTAAATAGAATATATTATATTCGGTAAAAGTACAGTATAAAAATTAAAAATGTCGGAGAAAATTCAAAATAGGTCATTTTCGGTAGTCAACTTTATTTATTTTTGTCTAAACAACTATGCATCGAATTTAACAGTTAAATATCAATTTGGTTATGTTTAACATATATAATTCATAAAATACATGCCTAGATACGTTTAGAGGCATTAATTTTTTTTATTTTTAATATTAAATCTACTAAAAATACGACAGATGAGTCGAAAATTTCGAGATAGAAAGAAACTATTATTTTTTATCTTTCAAAAGCGCCATTAAAATTAGACGACCGGAAAAGGATGCTGAAACCATCCGACTTCCTGTTTAGTTAAAAATTAGGATTTGTAGGCCAAATTTTAATGAAACAAATTTAATTTTTCTATGCGTATTGTAAGCGGGCGGCAGCGGGCGTTACGGGACATTAACGGTGTCGGGCGGCAGCGGGCGTTACGGGACATTAATGGTTAAGATATTAGTTTATAAATGAATACACATTTTTAAATGTTGTTTTTAAAATGATGTTGGATGATTTTGGTTTTATTCAGGGCAACCCCACAAGTACAAACCCCATTGCCAGCATCTACGCATGGACCAGAGGACTTGAACACAGAGGAAAGCTTGATGGAAACGTTGAGCTCCAGAAGTGAGTGGGAAATAGTTTAACATCTCCAATATAATATTCCATGAATGAAATACTAGCTTTTGTTTTTATGAGTTCCCTCCCTTCAACATTCTTGCCCTTGGATTTCTTATTGGCCTTTGTATTTGTTGGGTTTGAATCTATCAGTTTTGTAATGTGCTCTGTTGTTTGTTGCAGATTTGCTCAGAAGATGGAGAAGGCTTGTGTGGACTGTGTTGACAGTGGCAAGATGACCAAAGATTTGGCTGCATGTATTTATGGTCTTAAGAAGTAAGGCAACTTTTTTTTGAGCTAGTTTTATTTACATTATAAGTTTTCTGGTTTGTGCCCAAGACACACTATGCTGACCACTATGCCCAAATAAGTTTGCTAACCTAACATAAGACAGATACTTATCAGACTTCGGTTTCTACAGACTTAACCTGGATTCAAACACCAGATTTTGTGTTAGCAGTATAGCTCTCTACCACTAGGCCATGCCATCCCATAAGTTTTATATTGTAAACTATGTAGTTAGGTAAGGATGAGGTCACTGATGTGCCAATGTTTTATAATTCCAGTGTGAAAGCTAACCAGTACCTGAACACAATGGACTTCCTGGATGCCATTGCTGAAGAATACGACAGAGCAAAGTGAAGACTACATTAGAAACAAGGACTACTTAATTTGTTTTCATAATAATGTCATCATTTAAAATATTAGAAACAGTTATTTTTTTGTACTTATCAGGTGTTATGTAAACAATTACACCCGTTTTTATTTTAGAGTTAATGGAAACATTGTTTAGCATAGTAGAAATTTTTCTTCAATGAAGAATAACAATTCATTCATTTGAGGTTTTAAAGTGTAACTAGTTGCAAAAGAATATGTATTTATTGTAATTTCATTCAGTTTGGAACATTTATTGTACCAATTTTTAATGTAGCTAATGTTAAACAGCTGGTTACAGATCTGTTAGTGGATATCCAATTCTGGTTCATGTTAAGAATGAAAGTGTGTTAGCATCATGTTCTTTTACTGTTGTGGTAAAATATTGGAGAGCTTTAAAGGTTACTGTAGGGTAATAATTGTGTGTAATTAGATTTATTGTTGCATATCTATTGTAACAGGCCATGAGTGGTATACCCTTATGTGGTACAGTCATCATGGTGTTCATGTTCAGATTAAGTCACTTTTAGGTTTGTTGAGAGCAACTGTTTGAATGAACATGAGAACTAGGGTCATCAATAAACATGACACAATTTTTATGACATTGTTGTGTGATCTATGCATAAAAGAAGCAACCCTGTTCACAATATTCCTCCTCATAATATTCAGGTTGGCTAGATAACACAGTAGAATAAAACGTCTATTTTATATACTGCATTGTTTTCTTTATTTGTATTAAATGCACTGTGTTTTAAGCATTTTATAAGAGTAACTGTATACTACTTGTACTTGTAGAAAATATATTAACATTTACACAAGTAATAAGAAAACAATTTTTAAAAATTCATGATTTCTTTACTTAAGAGTCAGTATTGTATGATCACAAAAATGAAATATATTTGATTCAAAAATAGAAATTCTCAAATGCCCGTAATCTCTACATAAAAAAATGCAACAAATTATGTACAGTGGTTTTTTACAAGGGTGGGATAAAAAAAAACTTAATACTCAGCATTATAAAATTTAAAGGAAATAAGAAAATTAACAGTAGTTACATCAACAAGCTGCACCTAATAACATCAGGCAAAATTGTCAAGGAAGGGCTGTATTAAACTAATTAGCACAACTGTAGATTAGTAGACTTGGGTATCTGTATCCTCTTAACTAGGGCTGGCTGTGTTAGCATAAGGTTGATACAAGGGGCAAAACTTCTGTTGCAGAGTTACTGTTCATTATAGATCTGAAAATAAAAACCATTTAAACAAACTGAACAATGAAATGTTCATGTATTTAAACAATTTTTCAGACTATCAACATTCCAGACAGTTTAAAATATGATGTCCTTATATAACTTAGAAAAAAATTCAGATCTGTTGTGATGAGGCCAGTATGAATGTAACTATATATCTTTAAACTATACTAGACTGTCTTCCTTAGTGACAAGGAATGCATCACTTATTTCCGTGTGAACCAATGCAAAATGTTCAAGATGAACATTTCTACATGATACTTTAACTTTACTGAACATCAACTAACTGCTACCAAGATCCTTCTGGTCCAACTGTGTCCTACATCATTTTACACACATTTTACCAAACAAATAAAACAACAGAACATGCCCTCCAACCATATTGTCTATTGTTACTACGAATCAACTCTAATTATGTCCTTTTAATTTGTATGCCTTACTCTACCATTTAGTCTTATACAAATCTACGCTAGGACAAAAACCATCAGCTCTGATGGGTCTCTGAAACAAGTCAGGGAAGTTAACAACGAATGAGGAAAGTACTGTCCACACCATTCCTTCATAAGCTAAGATAGCAGATACAGGCTAACTCTTCATCCTATACCCTAGTACTAAGTTATAAAAAGTTTACAAAACTACAGGTAAAAAAAGACAAGGAACCCTCACTGACCTGAATAACTTCTGGCATTCAACTGTTTTCTCAAACTGTTTGGATTTCTGTACGGCTGTTGTAATTACCTGGGTGAATATGCAGACATTAGTTAGTTCTCCTAACAACAGGTACATACTGAGCTATCTTAACAACACATACTATTTGAGTTACCTCAACTTGTAAGGATTTCAGTTATCTTAATTAGCAGTTGTATAAACAACAGGTAAAACTTAAATTACATTTGGTAGCATTTAGTTTACCAAGGATACAATATTGGCCATCTTAGCAAGTGAAATCACAGCTGGCTAGCTGATATGGTTAGTGTTAAATTAAGTTGACATGCACAACAACAGGTGAAGGGGAGGATGTGGTTACCTCCTCGGGGATACTGGCCAGTCTGGCAGCGTTAAAACCATAGCTCTTAGGACACGCCCCCTTGACAAACTTGTAGAGAAACGTGATGGTCTCTTGAGATGGATCTTCATCGTTCTCATTCTCTACCATGCAAGCCTGTAACATACAAAATGTTGCTGTCAACAGACCATAAACTTATTTATATTTTACGTGTACGTATTACGTACATACACAGCTGGGCATAGTGTGAGCAAGATCATGATGATCTTCACTGAGGCTATTGTTGAAGTGTTGTTACTGTTCTGAAAGAGTTCAAAAGTAAGGCAGAATCCAAGTCTTATGATTGTGATATCTCACAATAGTGACATTGATCTTGAACTTCTTATAGGATTTAATCAGTTTTTACATCAGAAATAGTAGAATACTTTTTGTAGGAGTACTAACTTCATTATTTAGCTGAGAGTTATTACATGATTTATCTGTGAATCTCAACTTTATGATCATTTTATGTGAATGAATATTTCATTTTAAGGAAATCAATTGAAGTATCAAGAACCCCTAAAAATGGTCCTAAAACTACTGACTATTTAGACTTATTAAATTTTTGGGAAGTAAAATATATCGGAGTGAACCTTTAGGTACATAGGCCCAAAGCCACAGTTATATTGCTGACTATTTTTGGGGAACTCATTAAAGCTAGTTCACTCTGATAACCTTTGCTTCATGTTACCTGATGTTTTGGCCTACATAATTTTCTATTGAAATTACCTATACCAAAATGTGACTATTTCAAAAATAAAGAAATTAATTTTATTTTTTATTCTGTGGTATTTATGTAATTATAATTAAAAAATTGAACTTCAGAAATATGATAAAAAAGAGTTACCATGTGGCCAAGTCGAACATTAGAGTCATTTTTAAACTCTTCAACAAGAGAGTGATAATGGGTTGAGAAGAGTGATCTGCACTTGATATTTTCAGAGAGAGTCTTCACAACAGCACAAGCAATGGCTGTCCCATCATAGGTAGCTGTACCTCTTCCTGAAACAATGATATGAGATCTGACTCAATTATTTCCTCAAACAAGTTTTCACAGTTCCAGAAAATAGTTAGATGTATATTACATATCCCCAACATGCAAACATGTGTGCTAATAAAAACTAGTATATGTTAAAGTTTGCATTAAGATCCATATTAAATATATCTTTTATCTTTTATATTTTCAAAAAGACACTTTTAATTAAGTTTGCTTTCTCTTAGTGTTTTTTTTTTGGACAAAAGTTTTGAGTCTACTTACATCTATTAGTTTTAAAGAATTGCTGCAGTATTAATAAAATAAAGATTAACTTAGAAGATGATTCCAGAATCTTACCCAGTTCATCCATTAGCACCAGGGAGTGCTTTGATGCATGTTGTAAAATGGATGATGTCTCACTTAACTCCACAAAAAATGTACTTTCACCTGCAAAGTTGAATAGGTCTTATGATAACCAGGGCATACACATGTTACACAAACAGCATATAAATACACACAAAAATTTGATAAGAATATAACTGATTTTCTTTAAGAAAACTGTAGATAAAATGTACAGTGACAGGGACTAATTTCACAATTTAAATGAATAAGAGATTGTAAAACAAAATATTTTCATTTGATCCTAAAATTTTAAAAAAATATATAGTGTAAGATTTAAAAAAAAACCTTACACCAAGATGATATGAAAATAATACAACTATCATACTTAAAACAGGTGAAGGGGAATGAGACATAATTTAATATAATAAAATAATATAATATATAATATATAGTTATAATAATTATAATAATAAAATTTAATACTGCAGAAAAATCCTTGCAGTCATGGAACACAATCAACTCTACTAGATATACTTTAGTGTATGTGTAAGATACAGTTGTCAAAGTGGTGATTACACACAAAAAAATAAAAAACTTAAAGTATCAAAGAAATGAAACAAACTCGTTAGAAAAGTAAGAAATGTATGTTAAAGTTAACAAATTTAAATTGAAGCAACCTGACCTGCCATAATTCTGTCGCTGGCGCCAAGTCTGGTAAATATCCTGTCCACTGGGGTCAGCCGACATTTTTCCGCAGGAACATAACAGCCCTGTTGAAAATAATTCAGCGATACATTTCAACTAGCTTCAGGGATGAAAAAAACAAGGAAATATTTTGATAATAGTATTATCACATCTGACAGGCAAGCAATGTAATATTTTTTCTTAAAAAAAACTTTCACTTCTGATTTTGGTTTATAACTAAATATTAACTTTCTAAAATATGGTGTTCATTATATCAGAAACAGACTTAAAATAGATTCCCAGACAACCAGGCCAAAATAATAAGTGTTAAGGAACCACAATAAATGACAGCCAATTTAGTAAAAAAAAATGTGTTTTTTTTAAGTAAGATTCATAATCATTTTATTTTTTGTGTGCCCAAAACACATGGGGCAGAAGAACTAGAGTTCACCTGTTACAATGACCTTGGCATATGAAGCGACAGTGTGGTCAGCATTATGCCCAGCAGCCTTTGTTTCCTTAACATGAGTAAGGTACCCACAAGAGCTGAATGGACAGGGAATTCCTGCAGTCACTAGCCAAACCGAGATCCAAACTCAAGAACTTCGGAATAGTAGTCAACTGCTCTACCATTCAACCATACCGCCCCTTAAAGGAAGATTCGAATGAAAAAGAAATCTCGACAGAGTGGATCTATTTCTTCCGAAATCCCCTCATTTCATATTTCACTAAAACCCAAAAAAAAAAAAACTTATTTAGGAAAAACAGCAATGTAATCACAATCAAACAAAACAAACAACTTACAATCTGGGCCATGATAGTGATTAGCCCCACTTGGCGCATTAGCGTTGACTTGCCTCCCATGTTAGGTCCAGTTACCAAGACAACCTGACTTTCAGAGTAGCTTCCATCTTCATCATCATTCTCCTACAATTTACACAAATACAATGATTGGTGATGAAATATTTAATGAGTAGCTGCAATCATCATTGTTGTCACAAGCCAACCACAATACAGTATGTAGCAGTTTCTTAGTTACTTAAATAGTAGTTCATTTTTATATACATTAAGAAAATCATTTATTTTCTGTTTTAGTGCTTTATTCCATAAAAGCTTAAACATTCAAAATGTTTTTTATACATTTATATATCATAATAATAGTTATGCTATTCTATCACTCTGTCATTGTGTCACTCTGTCAGGAACGCTCTAGAGAAAACACAAGCAAAATAAAAACTTTCACAGTCAAACAAAAAACGAAACTTTCGACAACATCAGATGGAGCATATAGGAAATATTCTAAAGCCAGAAAAGTACACAATAAATTGACGTCATTGATTCTAGAGTAAACATAGAATTAGAAAGCCAATGCCGAAAAAAAATTGGCACAATAATATTGACGTCATCGATACTTGATAATACAGACACTAACATTACCGCCAAATTTAATTCTCCAACCTTAAAAGTGGTCTACATGTAGAGTTTCTTTCAGGCATCCCTTTGGGCATCTACTGCCACCCCCCCCCCCCCCCCCACAGCCCACCTGAACGAAATATATAGAAAATATATACTTTTACCTGTGTCAGCCCAAAAAAGTCTGAATGAAATACTATATGCATGATTGAGGCTTAGCGGCTAAAAGTAGGAAATGGGTCTAGATTATAGAAGTAGGGTCTACCTTTAGTCTGTATGATCTACAAATGCGACCAGTGTTTCTTTCAGACTTTTTTCTCCCCTGAGGGAAGGTACTTGAAATTTTCAGGGAGGGGGGGGGGAGGGGGATGGACTAAAATATTCTGGGAACAGGGACAGACACTGGTTAACGTATATTTTCAAAATAAATTTTATTTTGTTATAGGAGACTGGTACACATTTTCAAAATAAATTTTATTTTGTTATAGGAGACTGGTACACGCTTCGGAGCCCCCCCCCCCCCCCTTTCCCCTGAAGAGTTGTCTTAAAGAAACTTTTTTTTTTATGTTGTAGATATAAAATTATAAACTTGGACAGATCTGGATTCTAGTGTAAATAACGTTATTCAACTTTATTTTAACTTTCTTATCTACACAAATTAGGTATTTAAAACAGCTTATTCTATTTGGACTAGTGTGGAATGATAATTCAAAATCTGTAAAGGATCATGAATATATTAAAAATTCATAAAAAGAATATTAATATTCATTTTAATAATATATTAAATTATGCATCCATTTTCTAATTCCTTATAATTTAATTTCTGTAGATTTTCAATGAGTTTTGTAAACAGAATTGTAGGTTCTTTCCTTTGGTTTCTAAAAAATTATAAATGTAAAGTAGCAAATATTAATATTTTATGTAAAGCAATACTAACTATTTTTACTTTCTCGTATATACGTAGTATAGAGAAAGTATTGTAATCGTGCAAAAAAAAAAAATCGAGATTTTTACAAATCTCGACGTATCACTGATACGGAAAAACATAATTTTGCAATCTTGTCCGTATGTCTGTGTGTGTGTGTGTGTCTGTGTGTCTGTGTGTGTGTCCGTGTGTAAACACGATAACTTGAGTACCGTTACAGCTAGGTTGATGAAATTTCATATATAAGTATTATATCAAAATCGTAGATCCGTATCAACTTTTGAGCGATTTCCGACAACCGGAAGTGGTACTTTTTCTACTTTGAATTTTTCAAAAGCCTATAACTTGAGTACTATTTCAGATAGATAAATGAAATTTCACATGTAAGTAAAAGATCTAATTCTCTACCTTCTGTTAAATTTTGAGTAATTTCCGTTGACCGGAAGAAGAAATTTACGCTACTTCCGATTTCTCAAAAAACTAATGTAAATTTTAAAAGTACTAATAATATTGCGCACTATTATGCACTTTTTTATTTCGCGTTCACTTGGTGTGCAATTAATTTGTCTACGAGATTTTATTCTATTTTTAAAACTTTAAGTATTTAAAATGGATTAAAAATCATGTCTATAGCCCGAGTTCCCATCCCCTGTTATTTTATATAAAAATATTCGAGAAAGTTTAGGGGAGATCACTCCCGGTTTATTCAACTATGCATTATACATAATATTAAAATTGTGTATATGCATAATGTGTAAACAGGATAGATGCATTGCATGATGGATGGATGGATGAATAGATACTAAGTAGGATTAAAGAGAATAAGCTTATGGTAATGGGAACAGATGCAACCTTTTATTGTGGTTGTAAAAGTGAGTGGGGGGTGTTGTGTGTGTGGGGTTTTTGTTGTTTTTATCATATAATCATCTTTTGGATAACATGGGTGTTAAAATATTCACTGTAGACTAGGAGTGATAGGGAATTAATACCATGTAGGACTACTCAGTGACCTGGAAAGTGTCTTTGCTGATGTGTGGTGTAATTAGATTTTAATATTGTCATTTATTTTTCAAAGAGCCAAGAATAAAAACAAAAATAATAAATTTAACTTAATTTTTTATATTAATTAGAAGAAAAATTTTTCTACTTAACAAAAAGTCACTGTAAACAAAGTAAACAAAATGTCTAAATGGAAAATATAGCAAGTGTACATTAACAATTGTTAGTTTTCTGTAATTCGTGTCAGGATTGTCTAATCACAATCCTTTCATTTACATAACACAAGTGATCAGCAGCTTTGACTTCAGATAAACTTTTGTGTTTCCTAGTGTTATTAATACCATTGGCAGTTTTTTTTTATCATCACCTCTTTCTGTTCATGCCCAAGACAAATAGGGCAGATGAAATAGGTTCATCTGTTTCAATGACTTCCGCATATGAGGTATAGTGTGATCAAATAGAGCAGATGAAGTAGGGTTCATTTGTTTCAATGACTTCAGCATATGAGGTATAGTGTGATCAAATAGAGCAGATGAAGTAGGGTTCATTTGTTTCAATGACTTCCGCATATGAGGGATAGTGTGGTCAAATCGGGCAGATGAAATAGGGTTCATCTGTTTCAATGACTTCCGCATAAGAGGGATAGTGTGGTCTGCATTATGCCCAACTTCCTTCAGTTCCCAAATATGATTCAGGTATCCATCAGAGTTGGGATTTGAACTCGAGACTGTAGGATTAGCAGTCAAAAAGCTCTAAAATCTGACCATCCTGTTCCATTTAGGCAGTCATTCGTTTTTAAGAATCATAAGTATTTTAATAGTAGCAAAAGAAAATTTAATTAAGTACATGTCTACCACAGGCAACCAGGAAGTAAGATATACTTGAAGTACAAAAGAGGAAGATGCACAGATGCTACTTACTTTAGCCAAAAAAAATTATTAAAATAAGAAAAAAGCATAACATTATACACAGTAGATATGAGTGCTTCTAAAGCTTTAGTATGTAGTTAAGTATAGCTTATATCTGTAAACTGTTTAACTTAAGTATTCATTTTAAAAATTAAAAATGTACCCCAACTATAATAAACAGAGTAAAAGTTGTTTAACTGTAGTTGGTGCAATCTTAAATTATTATGGATTCTTTGGCTTGCAAAGTTGCTTTCTAACCTCAGTGTTCCATACTTGCTATGTACTAGACTTGTACTAGTAGTACAAGTAATTATAAAATATTAACATTACTTTTAGTTAGTGATCATTTTTTTCTCCATATTTTTACTGAATGTTTAATTTACAATTTCAAATGCCAAAACAAACGTTAACTTTGGTATTAAAAATGAAAATTTCCATACAAAAGTTTTTTAAAAATTGTGTTTACTTTTAGAGCTCTCTGCAGCAGAATTTTTACATATTAAGAACATGAAACAGAAACTAAAGCGAAAAAGTAATATTCTCATTTCCGCCTTCTTTTTTTTAATTCAATTTTTACAATGTATTTAAATTTATTTAAATTGTAAATTTTTATTTTTTTATTTAGGGAACAAACTTTGGCAAACCAGAAATGTTTTGTATAATTTATCACATTTATGCTATTAGCAAGAAGGTAGGCATGAATCCATATGGTGTAATAGGAAAGCTACAAGTGAGTTCTTTAAAAAAAAAAAAAACCAACTTACATCTTTCACACCAATCACAGTATCGTTTGGGATAAAATCTCCACCTTCAAATGTTCTTGCCACACATGGATGGCGCCCATCACGGATCTCCAGTAAAGGCTAAAATTGGTAAAAATTATTCCACATTTTTAAAACACTAGTGTTTTATAGCAGTCAAAAATTATTTTATTTTACATTTTTAAAACACTAGTGTTTTGGCTAGTGTTTTAGAGCAGTAAAAAATTATCTTAATCCCTATTTTTCTTTTTAAGAAATAATCCTGATTTAAGTAGCAACGACTAGTTTATATTGTTTACAATAAGAACTATTTTAGAAATATTAATTTTTGGGCAAGGGAATGATGGTCTGTGACAGGTCATAGTCATTTTATGTCAAGGTTATGGGTACATCTGCTTCAAAATGAGTATAGATGGTAGAGTACTACGACATATATAAGATTCCTGTCACTAGAAGGTCCATGGGGTAGGTGATGTAGAACTTATCAGTTTCTGTTTTAAATGAATAGATAATGTATGCTCAGCCACCTTTTACTTTCTCTCACCGTAAGCCAGATGCCCATTAAAGCTGTGTAGACTCTGGCAAGTCCTAGTGTGTTGAGAACATGCTGAAACACAGCTGACGTACAGCCAAATGCAGCACCAACCACACATTAGCTAGATACAGTATGACAAGGACAGCAGATACCAAGAGATAAATTTCTCTTACCTGCATTCCACTTTCAGGTAAAACAATTTCAGGTCTGCAGACAACGCCGTCAGCCCCTCTGCTGTAGGCTGCCAGGGCTATGAGTACATCTAACACTGACAGGCACTCAACAACTGCCATCCATTTTGAATGCCTGAAAACAGAAGTTGGGATAGAGGAAATAATAAATTTCTGTCAGCGGAGACCCATTGCAAGACTTATGTTTTGGGTAGCTACAACTTTTGTTATTCATGTTGTATCACAGGGTACTTCTTTCTTCAACACACAAGTTGTAACCATTAGTTGTGCAGTGAACAAGGGCAGAAAACAATCACACAAAAATCAATAGTGCGATAAGAATAGTGCAGATAAAAGTGCCGTAACGATAGTGCAAAAAAAGTGTAATAAAAATAGTGCAGATTAAAGTACGCTAACAACAGTGCAGATAAAAGTGTGACAACAATAGTGCAGTAAAAGTGATAACAATAGTGCAATAAAAGTGCAATAACAATAGTGCAGAAAAAGTGCAATTACAATAGTGCAGAAAAAGTGCAATAACAATAGTGCAGAAAAAGTGCAAGAACAATATTGCAGTAAAAGTGCAATAATAATAGTGCAGTGTGATAAAAATAGTGCAGATAAAAGTGCAATAAGAATAGTGCAGATAATAATGCAGAAAACAATAATGCAGACAATACTTCATTAGGTTAAATGCCTCATTGGAACCACAGGATATTTTAAGCAATTAAACTACTTCTAAACAAATATAACTTAACAACTTTATTTTAGATAATATTTAAAAATCAAATTAAAACACAAAACTGAAGAAAAAAAACCTAGCCTAAAAGTTAATAAAAAAAACAGACCTCTCATCAAAACTGTGAAATATCCTTCTCATGATGTCCTTAAGACAGGCATCTTTCTTGTCTTCAGCTTCCATCAGCTGTCGCAGGAGGTCATTTATTGCGGCTGTCCGGAATCTCTTGGCCCCCTTCTTTGAGGACATTGCTTCGTACGAGTTGGGAATGTTGGACCAGGCGGATTCAGGGACTTCTATCTGATAGCGATTTTTTGCTGTCCCCCAGTACGTTATTGACTGGTGAGAGATAGAATAAAGCCATTTAATTAAAGTGTATACATTTTTGTAGTTACTACAAGAATAATAAATTCTGCTTAAAATTTGAATAATAATAGAAATGATGAATTTTTATTAAAAAATTGAGAAAAAAATGGTGCACATGAACATGAGAATTTTTATAAATAAGGAAATAAAGTGAGTTTTGGAGAGTAAAGAGTTTAAGTAACTAAAAAAATAAAACTAGACTTACTCTACACCCCAAAACTTTTTTCTGAGTGTCTAAGTATTCAGCAAACTCTGCTTCTATTGTTCTGATATCTTCTAAAGCTTTGTCATAGTCCTCGTCGACTCCTGGGTATCACACAAGAAATCAGTACATGATAATCTGACAAACATCTGTACATGATAATCCAACAAACATCAGTACAAGATAAGCTAAGACATCAGTCATGATAAGCTGACAAACAACTGCACATGATAAGCTAACAAACATCATTACATGATAAGTCTACACACATCAGTAAATGATAAGCTGACATAGTTACTTTTGTATGTTTTAAAGTAAAATAAATCAGATTTTTTACTGACATTGGCATATGAACAGATTATGTGGTCAGTACTATGTTAAGCTATGGGACGGCATGGCCTAAATGGTAGAGTGCTAGACTGCTAACCCGAAAGTCAAGAGTTTGAATCCGGGTTCAATTCTGTAAAACGTCCCTGAGTCCACCAATCTCTAATGGGTAGATAACTCATATTAGGGAAAGTAAAGGTGGCTGGGCAAAGTGCTGACCACACTATCCCTTTATAAGAAGAGGTCAAGAAACATATGAACTGTACTTCATGTGCCCCATGGATTGCTGGGTCTAAAGAGGATTCTTTACTTTACTTTTTACTTGTTAAGCTGTAGGAGTTAAACCTGAGACTTTTGGATTCACAATTATGGGCACTACCCTTTGACCATTCCATCCTTGTTGAACAAGTTATATGTTGTAGTGTTGTACAACATATTTGTATATAGGGTGTAAAAACATCTTTTCAATGATTCCCAACTCTTGTAGCACCTAACTATAATTAGCTGAACATTGCACTTTTAGTTATTGATAAGATTACAGTTTGTCTAAAATTGTCAAATCTTGTATTACAGTATTTCTGTTACCTTTGCTGGGAACAATGACTCCATCTTTTTTAGCTTTTTTATGATCAAAGGCAGTCTGAGGAGTTTTAAAAAAAAGAATTTGGTTTGTTTCATACAAAATTTATCTGGTTAAAAATTTAAATTGCTAACTATCAATCAGGAAATTGCACAAGTTAAATTAAAAAACAAAACAAAAACTACGGAGTTTTTTAGATTTAATACTGTAATTTTTACTACTATAGATAATAAATATAACACTACAATCAACTTTCAGTATTTAACAGAACAAAAAATATAAAACATTTGCACAGAAATCAAAGCTTAGAGCTAAAATAGAGAATGACAAAACAAACAAAAACAAAAGTCCACCTTACATCAAAGAATTCTAAATCCTCAGCAATGTCAGGGAAGTGGGCGTCATCCCCTGTAGCTGCAGACTTGATGTTGACAGTTTTCCCAAGCAACTTTGATCTAGACAACAACATAGTAAATTTGATCTAGACAACAACAGAGTAAATTTGATCTAGACAACAACAGAGTAAATTTGATCTAGACAACAACATAGTAAATTTGATCTAGACAACAACAGAGTAAATTTGATCTAGACAACAACAACAGAGTAAATTTGATCTAGACAATAACAACAGAGTAAATTTGATCTAGACAACAACATAGTAAATTTGATCTAGACAACAACAGAGTAAATTTGATCTAGACAACAACAGAGTAAATTTGATCTAGACAACAACAACAGAGTAAATTTGATCTAGACAATAACAACAGAGTAAATTTGATCTAGAAAACAACAGAGTAAATTAGATCTAAACAACAACAGAGTAAATTTGATTTAGACAACAACAACAGAGTAAATTTGATCTAGACAACAACAGAGTAAATTTGATCTAGAAAACAACAGAGTAAATTAGATCTAAACACCAACAGAGTTAATTAGATCTAGACAATAACAACAGAGTAAATTTGATCTAGACAACAACAACAGTAAATTAGGAAACAGATTATGTAGTTTCTCTAATTCTGATCCCTTACAAAGATGGAGCAGTCAATCTCTTTCTGCATACTTAGTAAAATAAAGTAGCTGCATGGTCAGCATAATAGTCAGTTTAACTCTACAAACTGAATGACATTGGTATCTTCTGAAGCAAGATGGACTTCAAAAGATCAAGACAGCTTAAAGCCAATAAAAAAAGTTTATGGGCATTCTGTTTGTGTTGCTTTCATTGACTATGTAATAATAGCAATGCCCAGATACCCTTTACATCCAGGAAACATTACAGATGACTTAAGTCAGGTACATACTACAGCTAGATGACTTAAGTCAGGTACACATGAGAGCTGGATGACTTAAGTTATATACACATACAGCTAGATGACTTGTTAGATACATATTACAGCTAGATGACTTAAGTCAGGTGCCCATTAGAGCTGGATGACTTAAGTCGTGCACCCATTACAACTCTATGGACTACAGGAGACATCCTACAGACTCAATTCAATGACCAGCGTGTGACCAGAATCTGAACCCAGGACCTTTAGGTGGGCTATCGCATACTCTAAAACTATATTGTACTTTCTAAAGGAGAAGGAACACAATTAATGGTACGGTAGTTTTACCCTCTTGTAAATGGCTATTCTTATAACAACTGTTGTACACAACCTAAGCCAAAATAAAACTTACTTGAATGAAGAGGCAGCTGGTTTAAATTTCTCCATTATTTTTACTGCAGATTTAAATCCCTCTATTGTTGTTAAGAAGTCGTCAATTTTCTTTTTGCTGCGAATATAAAATGTAATTATGTTGTACTGTAAGAACATCAGAATTAATTTCAGTCAAATGATGACTGACGTTTAAGAAGCAAAACGAGCTTCTGGTCATTGTCATGTATTTAATGAGCTTAACGTAAGCCCTAAACTAACTACCTGTAAGTGACCTCTTCATAAAGAATTGCTCTGCTGTCTGGGTGACTTTTACTTTTGCCAGCTGACCCAATGGAGTGAATCCTGAAAAAACAAATTACATTTTTTGTTTTGTTGTCTCATTTACACAGCTCTAGAGTAAAGACTGTAAATCAGTTAAACTCTTAAATAATGATTTAATCCCTACACTGAAGCATACTGAAATCTTTAAAATTTATAAGGAACAGTATAAAAAATTTGTTTTTTTAAATAACCATTTTGAGATATCAGCTCACAAATTCAAAAAGTTGTTCCTTTCATTTTAAAGGTGTATTTGATGTGTTAATTTTATAAAGAATACAAATTTTAACTGTGAATATAAATATTTTATTTTAACTTTTTGAGAAAAATAAATTAATGACTGACTTCAAAGCTAACCAAGACCAAAAATTATATAAATGATTTATAATAGTCAAATTTGTCTGTGAGTATTTAATTTCAATGTCTCTATCCCTTGGCTGTATGCTTTTATTTGTTAACTGATTCGGAACGTTCGTTCTCAAGATCTTAAATATAATATATTAGAAAATATTTTAATCTCCATTGCTGAAAAGGCAATACCCATTGAAAGTTTAATATATCTTTGACACTTTTTATGAGAGGGGCTCTAAGCAGCTGAACACCTAAAAACTTTGTATTGAAACACAAAGCAGGTCTTCTAAAAGGCAAATCTTGGAGGTAAAAATATGAGTGAGAAACTTTATAAAAAGTGGGATTGTTTACAAAGTAAATATCACTCCTCTCCTATTGTAAAGTGCGAGAATGTAATTATAAAGGGGTTTACACTTAAAGGTGAGATTGTTTTCTTTAAATGCAATGAACTGTGTGATTTATTTACAGTATAACTTTGTTGTTCCATTTGCTTATTTTGTAGACATATTTTTAAAAAAAATAAAAATAAAGGGTTTTTGGGCTTAATTAGGCAAGGACATTTTGTATTGATTTAGAAAGCCAATGAAAACATTCAAACAAAATGTGGCACAATGGAAGAGAAACATAAAGATCTATGTTTCCATTTTTAAGGATTGTACAAATATTTTTAAATTACTGAGTACAAAAACCACTACTGTGTGAAGAAATTTATGACCTATGGTCAAACTTGGCTGCCATTAGTAACATTACTTCACAAATTTTTTTTCTAGAGTTAAAATTGAAATCTAGATCTCTAACCCAAGCACTAGATTAAAAAAAATAAATACAAGAAGTATTCTTTCAATACACTAAAATACAATGCATTTTGTGTGGCTTAAAACATTTAAATCTGTCAGGTAACTTCCTAGTAATAAATATTCAAGGGAGATAATTGAAATTTTATTTTTAAAAAGTCTTTAAAAATACAATTCAATGGCAACAAGGGATGGGCTCCATTGTTTACTACTTTACTCAACATGTAAATTGAAAACCTTGAATGACTTTATACCTAATCTTTACAATCAATAAATTTTAGAATTATCATCCAATTCTAGTCTAAATAGAAAGCCTTTAGCTGTTTTAAAAATCTAATTTATAGACATTTTTTTTAAAGTTCAGCTATCTTAATGAACTAAGTTGCTTGATTGTATCAAAACTGTTTGGATATCCCACATTTATCTTAATTCATAAAAAATGTTTAAATAACAAGCTTTTACGTAATAATTCACTAAAAAGTAGAAAATAAATTATACACTACTATTTAAATAACTAAAGAAAAGCTAAAATAAAATGACCTGCTAAGTAATCTTTCCAAGTCTGGAAGTCTCTTCAGTATGGTCACACACTCCTCCACTGTGCCTGGTATTTGAATCAGGTCATCTACAGCATCAAGTCTGTCAGAAATAGACGCAGGCTGGCATAGAGGGGAGCAGAGCCACTGGTGGAAAAGTCTTTTGCCTGCAATACAGGAATAGCTGTGGTTTTTTTACAGGTGATTAAATTAGTACCACTTTAGATCAGATGGTCCATGGGGAAGATGAAGTAAAGTTAATCCATTTCTGTGACCTCAGTATATGATTTCCCCTAAATTAGTCAAACTCTCGGCTCGTTATCTGGGGACAGCCACTCTTCTAGGAGAGATAACTCCAAAATCAAACAACTGCTGCAATGTAGTTTGTTCTTGGTTGGACAAAGGCTATGGAAGCAAATCCAAAAAAAAAAAGCAGGCTGAAATCAGAGTTAATGGCCTCAATGGCTCATAGCCATTTGACAAGTATACTTAATTGTGTTGGACGGGATTCCTTCCACCACTAAAATTAAGAATGAAGAGTCAAGTGGACATCAGGGTTGGGTGGACTAAGGAATGTCCGATGCACTGGAGCTCTGAACCAAACACAAGTCTGTCAGATATATAACCATTTGTCTTACCCCTTGACTCGTTAAACCTACAAGTGATAAGTTTTTACTTAAAAATAATGTCTTACGTGTTTATTACTTCTAATTTTTTTAATAAACTTTTAAAAACAGGAATATCAAATATAGTAATTTAAGCTGATTCGCCAGTTTTGTAAAGTATACTTTCAAGTTATTTTAAAGTAAAAACATGTAAAGCTGTAAATTAAATAAAAACTAAGAAAACTCAAACCCTACCGAAAGATGTTGAACATGTGTTTAATCTCTCCAGTAGTGTCCCTTGTGTGGATTGTGTGGATGTGTTCCATACTACATCCAGGTTAGCCATGGTCACGCCATCCAGGACCTTTCAAGAAAACAAAAATTTTTTTTTCCATTTTTCATTAAATTAAACCTGTTGATTTATTTCTTAAAATACACAGAAATAAAGTTGGACATTTAGTTTCTGAATGAATTCCTACCATATGCCTCTGTTTTAAATCAAATGTATCATCCTTTTTTGTACTCAAATTAGAGCTTTCAATAGGGATATACTTTTCAAATTTCTTCATAGACAAGAGTTCTTGATCTAGCAGACAGTACTGAAGATACCTACATGACAAAAAATGTAACATTAGATGTTTACAAATACAGATAAGGTGAATGGAATAGTTAGTGAAAAGCATTATGAAGTATTCTCATTTGAAATAATTTGCTGAAATGAAAGTGTCAAACTAATACACAACTGTCCATTTGAGATTGGGGTCAATATATTACTATTCAGGCTCAAGTCTCTCGGGCAGATGAGGCTCGTTAGCTGGGGACAGCCACTCTTCTAGGAGAGACAACTCCAAAATTAAACAACTGCTGCCTTGTAGTTTGTTCTTGGTTGGACAAAGGCTATGGAAGCAAATCCAAAAAGAAAAGCAGGCTGAAATCGGAGTCAATGGCCTCAATGGCGCATAACCAGTTGACACGTAACGCTTAATTGTGTTGGAGGCGTGGTCGAGTCGGCAAAAAGCTCATGGTTGATAAATTCGAACAAAGTCTCGAGTTCAAACCCACTGGCAGATAAATCTCAATCCCCTTCAACACTAATAATTAAGAACGAAGATGAAGAAGAAAAAGGCTCAAGTCTTGTAGGACGTCCCTGAGTCCATCCAGCTCTAATGTGTACCTGGCTCACATTAGAGAAACATAAGTGGCTGGGTGTAGTGTTGACCACACTATCACCTTGTATGCCAAGGTCAATGAAGCAGATGAACACTTCTTCATCTGTTACATGTGTCTTGGGCACAACTAGGAAAAAAATGATGATGTAACTATTCAAGTGGACATTTTGGTCTAGTGACTGGATGTTAACTCGCTAACCCAAAGTCAGACGTACCAAACCTGGGTTTGAGAATGAATAGCCTCTCACACCAAAACAGATGGCACCAAGCAGGAAGTGCATGACTAACAATAACCACAAATTTTCTTTGAGCTAATGCCATGGGTGAGAGAAACACTGAATTCTCCATCCTGCTGTTGTTTGCCTGGCTAATTAGTAATAAAACAGATAGTATTACCTCACAAGTTAAAGACAGTTACAAGTACTATGGACGTTTCGACCCAAGGTCTCTGTCAGCACACAACAGTGTGATTACAGATTAGACAAATAAAGACAAACAGTAACACATTTTTTGACTTAGCTCGACAGTGAAAACACGTCTTGTCTGCTAGCCACGATATCCAAAAGAAAAGACGTGTGAGAAGGACGCTTGGACACCGTATAGGGGTGGGGTTGGGGGCGTGGTGTATGCGGGAGGGGGGGGTTGTTAGGTGAAAGATATCTGTTCATTCAAGCCATCGGGTGCCCGTGTACCAAATTTAAGTATTAGTCGCGTTTCAGTGCTAAGGCGATTTTTAAAATTGTGGCAGAACCGAACGGCGGTTACACAAAAGTCCTTTTTTAAGTCATGCCCACTCTTGTTGAAGTGTTTGGCCACAGGAAGACCGTCTTCATTGTTGATTGACCGCAGGTGTTGGCTAACCCTGTCAGACAATCTTTTCCCCGTTTGTCCGATATAAAAGATGTTGCAACGCCTGCACTGGATGACGTAAACTACGTTGCGGGACTCACAGTTGAAGTGATTTTTAATTTTAAGGGTTCCCTTCGGCAGCTGCAGTGATTCAACCTGAAGGGTGAAATGACAGGTATTGCATTTACGGGGACAAGGAGTGGTGCCAAAACCGGTGTTGGTAGTGGGTGGCAGGCGGCTGCGAACTAAAAGGTCTCTAAGGTGTTTTCACTGTCGAGCTAAGTCAAAAAATGTGTTACTGTTTGTCTTTATTTGTCTAATCTGTAATCACACTGTTGTGTGCTGACGAAGACCTTGGGTCGAAACGTCCATAGTACTTGTAACTGTCTTTAACTTGTGAGGTAACTAATACTATCTGTTTTATTACTAATTACATTAACCTCACTGCAGCTACCATTTGTTTTTTTATCTTTGCCTGGTTAAAGAGCATTTCTTGAGCCAGTTTTGTCAGCATGGGAGTGAGATATAACCAATGTACATGCTGACCATTCATTTAGCCAATGGAAGAGGAAATTTCAAAAGAGGATGTCAGATATTGGATAGTTTGGATTACATGTTAACAAATCATTAGGTGATGGATAAGATTTGAACAGATGGTGAATGACAGATATCAGATTACATGTTAGGATTACATATTGACTAGTGCAAGTGGTTTTGCTTCAAAAGGATTTAACTCTGACAGGTTTTACCTCTGCATTTCACCACTATAATAAAAAAAAAAACATCAAAAACCTTAAAACTGATTGGAGACAACTTTGACTTACCAAGTGACAGCACCAAGAGCTCTCACTGCCAGTTCACTTGAGTCAGCTGCAGTTAGGCCTAGAGCATCATCTAGCAATAACAACATTTAAATTGGTCATTGTTTTCATTTGAATATAACTATCCTTTATACATTTTACTACGTAATGTGTAAAAGAGATTGTCTAGTAATAAAAAACATTGACATTAGTCATTGATACAAACTGTTTTCATTTAATTAAATAAGACTATCCTTATTACATTTTACTATATTATGTGTAAGTTAGACCTATGGCCATCATCTAGCAATAACAATATTTACATTGGTCATTGTTTTCATTTAAATATAACTATCTTCTTTACATTTTTTTTATGGTATGGGTAAATTTGGCTTAGGGCATCATCTAGTAATAAAAACATTGACATTAGTTGTTGATAAAAAAAACTGTTTTAACATGTGGACTGCTATCATTTTTACATTTTAAAAAATGTGATGGTTGGGCCTTAAGCATTAACAGGTAAAAAAAACTTCCTGTTATAGCTATAGAATTATCTTTACATATAACAGATTTGTGCTCTATGTCCCTGCAACTTGTCCAGATTGAAAATATAAATCAATATTATTTAATGTAAATCAACCTCAGAGCAGTGCATCTAGAAAATCAAGGTGAAAAAACCCAAAAAAAACAAGGATAATAAAGGAAAGTTTTGTTGACAAATTTTCAGACAAATAATACAATTTACAAAAAAAGAAAAAAAAACAAGAAGGATAATGTAAGAAAGATGGGTACCTTTGTGAACAGTTCAAAATGGAAACAAGTTTTGGGTTTGACACATTTTTGGACCAATGATATAAAATTTTAAAATAGAAAAAAAAAGTGCATTAAAAAAAATGTACACAACTCACAGAAGAAAAATCAATCTATTAAAAAGTTACCAACTTTCACTCAGCATAGCTTTAATGACATCAGGCATCTGCAGGTCATCATCTTTGGATTTGAAGTACTCCTCCTCTGATAAAACCTTCAAGGTCTTCCCACTGTCCCAGAACTCTGACCCCGGGGTCAAGGCCTCCTTCAGTGCTGATGTTAGATTGGCTTTAAACAGTTGCAAAGTGGCTGATGATATTTTTCCTCTTTCGTATAAAACCTGAAATATTATTTTTTTTTAGACATTAAATCATTTACACAATATTTGTATATAACACTACAGAAAAATAGTATTTTAAAATTTAATTGGTTTAAAAAAATGTGTAACACTTCCAAAGATATGTCTTCATGCAATTAATGATGTGATTAAACTACTGTCAGCCCTATGTAACCAGCAGTGCTTAAAATATAGTTTAGTAAACCAGAATACAGATACCTCAATATTTTAAAGTATTTAAACAGGTAGTAAGTAATGTGAATAAAAAAATGTTGTGGTATAGTTGTACTATGTTTGCAATTTTTTTTTCCCTGCACATACTCTAATATAGATCTATATATAGAATATTTTATTCTACTATTGCTAAATATTGGAACTAGGGAAAATATAAAAGCAAACAAAAGTCTTGATGGTAAATGAAGGGGTAGTCTTTAGATAAGAATACCTGAGTTGGTGTGTAGTGGGCTATTAAAGTGCGCAACCTGGACATGTGACGGTCATCTTCAAATTGACCAACCTGTGAGAAAAATAAATATTGAATTAATGAAAAGTTCTACTTTAACTTTGAAGCTGGCAGTTAAACAAACAACAATTAATTATTTTATTATGGAAAACCTAATAAAAAAGATGAAATTAAAAAGAATAGGATTATTTTTAGAACTGGGCAAATAATTGTAGAATTACTAAAAAATGAAACTAAGAAACACAATAGAAATACTATTTTTAAGTTCAGACTGTGTTGCATACCTTTAAGTAGACTTTGAATAAGACATGGGCTTGAAGTTTTTATTCAGACATGTTTAAATTTGAAGAGCCTCAGTGCCAAATTGAATTAAACTAATTTTTCACTAGAAGGTTAATCTACATTAAAAGAAAAAACTTACATGAAATATTCCAATCAAGGTATCAATAAAGCACACGCCATATGTACTTCTCCCTTCACCTGACTCAACCTGTCAAGGTAAATTTAGACAATATTGGCAAAACTTGAATCGAATTAGCCCCAATATAATTAATTGTCAAAATTTTAATTAAATTAGCCTTAATATTACTAAGATTATTGAAATCAGTGTCAATACTTGAATCAATTTACTAAAAGTGTCAGAAAATTAACCAATTTAGGCTTGATATTATATTATAAAGTCTTGAGTTTGAATCCCGGTTTGAATAAGTGGACCGTCCCTGACTCCACCCACTTCTGATAGGTACATGACTTAGATTAGGAAAACAAAGGCACTTGGGCATAATGCAGACCACATTGTACCCAATATGCTAAGGTCATTGAAACAGATGAGCTCTACTTTATCTGCCTCATGTGTCTTGGGCACAAATGGGGAAAAAATGATGATTACAATTGTCAATTCTTCAATATTACTAAAACAGTAAAATTTTAGCCCCATGTTTGCTACTCTCTGTTTAATTATCAGTTTAGTCCCATGTCTGTCAGGTTTACATGAGCTTCTGACCTTCTCACAAACTGCCAGTAAATATTTGCTAGTAGCATCACCACTGTCACCATCCAGATAGTTGTAAGTCTTAGTTCCCTGTGTGCTCACTTGGCAGATTTCTCTCTTCACAACCTTATCAAACTTTGTTGCCTGTTTGCCCACTGAAAGCCAAAATTTTAATCAATTTCTAGGATTTATATTTAAATTATCTGGCTAATAATGACTCAGACCAATGTCTTCCAATGACAACATGGTCAAGTGGGGAACAGGGCATTACCCCATCCCCCATCATTACTCCCTGGAGTAATTACCCCCCCCCCCCCCAGTAGGACATTACCCTCCCCCCCCCGATCATAGCTTAAGGTTCAGCTAGGGTTTGAGTTTGGGTTAGGTCTAGATCTAGCGCTAGGTTTAGGGCTAGTGTTAGGATCAGGGTTAGGCTTAAATCAATGTCTAGAGTTGGGTTTTGTTTTGAGTTTATTATAGGGTGAGTTGAATTCTTAGGTTTTTCATCTTTGTCTTAAGGTAAAAATTAAGGTAATATATTTGTATAGAGTTGGAGTTAGAATCAGGATTCTATGTTGGTGGATGAGGGGGGGGTTAATTGCTCTGGGGGTAAATACAGGGGGGAGGGGGGGGGGGGGGGTAATGTCCTGTAGCCAGTCTAGTGATAGAGCAGACAATTACGAACACAAAGATCTAGAGTTTGGTTACAAATTTTGTGTTGGTAGGATGCGAGCCCACCTAAATTTGATGGGTACCTGACTCAAGCAGGAGGAAGTGACCATACAATGCTCTATGTTGGTTTTATTTATTAAAAAGATGACCTCTACTTTATCTATACTGAGTTACCTTCCGTAATTGTTGAACAAGGGAAAATTAAGGTGGGCGACCATACAATGTCTTAAAATTATTTTTTTTAAAGATGAGCTCTACTTCATATACACTAAGTTACCTCCCTTTATCAATTGTTGAGCAGGAAAATGTTAAACAGGGTGACCATACAATGTCTAATGCTAATATTTTCTTTTAAATTAACTCTACTTCTACACTAAGGTACCTTAGTTTACTACATTTTACAAAATCCATCCTTTCTTCTTCTTATTTTTGGTCAAAAAGAGAAGTAAAAAAAAATGTTGAAAGAACATACTCGTTTTGCAACGGTCAGCCATCATATCCGGAGTCTCTGTCTGCTCCACCCTGGCCACCTTGTACCCTTTGAGGATGAGAGCATCAGCGTAGCGGTTGTAGGCGATCTCAGGGAACCCAGAGTGGGCCCAGTCACCCTGTTAATACATGCAACCTCTGTATGTCCATGTTTGAACACACCCACACATACAGACACTAACAACAGCTATAACGTAGCAGTTGTAGGCGATCTCAGGGAACCAAGAGTGGGCCCAGTCACCCTGTTAATACAAGCAACACTAGTTCATTCCATGTACACTGTCCATGTTTTACACATCCACACCAACAGACATCTAGCAACAGCTAGCTCATCACATGTACACACTGTCCATGTTTTACACATCCACACATACACCTAGCAACAGCTACCACTAGATGTACACCATTAGAACTTGACAACATCACAAAAACAGTAAGTGAATACACAGCCTATGTGTTTATTATAGAACCCAATGACAACCATTTTTCACACACAAAAGTAACCACATTTCACATGTGAGGGTGTGGAGTAAGAAAGCTACAGATAACATGCCTTACTTTACTGTTAAGTTATAAACAGGCACATCTAGTTTTTAACATAGAGACTGATCTTTATAAAAATAAAACCAAATTTCAAAGGGGGGCTGGAATTAAACAACAGCTTTCATGATTTGTATATGTGTTATTTTATGACCACCTCTAGTTATTAATAAATAGACCCACCTTCATATAAATCAGGCCCAGTTCATTGACCCCAGTAACTGCATCCATATGGTAGAGTTCATAAAACTTGCCAACCTGATCAAATTGAAACATTAACAATTACTGTAAATCTCTACCAACCTGACAATATGAAAACCATTACTGTAGATCTCTATAACGACATACGATTGTAAAACACACTACTTAAAGAAATCTGTGACGAACATGTTTGCTAAATTTACAACTCAAGTTCCACTACTAACAGGTTAGATAAACTTATTTTAAAATTTCAGTTTGAACTCACTTAAATTCTTAAAGGGTAAACAACAAAAATCTTTGTTTTGAATGTGTTTAAAAGATATACAATACAAGATGAACAGTCCATCTTGTAAGCAAAAATGTCCTTTTTGTGCTAAGCTTTCTATAGAATCAGCATGAAAATATAAGAATAATGATTTTGACCTTGAAGAAAAGAACTGTATCAAAATGGTTGATCTTGAGCTCCCACCACTGACGCATGGCCTGAAAAGAAAAGTGTGTAGAATAAAGTTGTATCAGACTAACTTACAGATCTATGCTTACTAAGGAAAGTGTACCAGACATGAATTTTTAACAACCATACATAATAAAGTTCTGTGGTACTTCTATAACATATTACACAAACTTACAGGCGTCTGTTTACTAAGGAATGAATCCGGTACATAGAGTGTCCTAGGATTGTAGTCTGGATCCTCTTTTAGTCGCTTGTTTGCATCCCTTATTAAAAAATCAATTCATGATAAATTAGAATTTATAATTAAAACAAAAAAGGTATATAAAATTATTAATTTTTACAAGTAACATTACTTAATTCTGATCATTTGGAATAAACAGGAGACTTCTTCAGGTTAACTTCAATAGATTATTTTATATACATCATAGCTCTGATCACAAATCTTGTCAATAGCTTCCATCTTAGACAACCCACATAACATAAACACAGCTATCTTACAGTCCAGACAATCAAGGGACATCACCAAGACAAGTATAATACAAGGGACATCACCAAGATAAATATAATACAAGGGACATAACAATAGCTACCAAGACACTGTGACAGCAGTGAGTTTTGAATTACCTAATCTTCTCTGGCTGCAAGAAGTCCAGATGTAGATGTGTAAAACTGGATGTATCTTTCACTGCTGTGTCATCTGAACCAGTCTGGAAACACAAGAAAATTACCTTAAATATTCAGGGGTTTTTTTTTTAATGAATAATCTAGAATTGAAAACAGTGTAAGTGTTCATTCTCAAAGTTTTAAAAGCACCCATTTTTTTTTTATTTTAATTACTAATTCAAAACAAATATACAACCTTACAAAATAGAAAGGAAATTAAACTGCATTAAAACTTACAAAAAGAAGCTATAAAGAAGTAACAATGAGCGATACAAAAATTACAAAACATTTCATACAAAAGTCACACAAAAAGTGACATCCATATAGTTTCATAAACAAGTTACAAAATATTTTCTAAAGCAGTCCATACCTCAGGTGCAGTGAACAAGGACAGCTTAGATTTCGTGTTCTCACTAACTGTTGGGCTGGTTTTCTTATCCCCGGCAAATGAGGACAAATTCAGGGATTTTTTTGCCTTGCTTTTGGTCGCTGGTGTACCATTACTTTTCCTTTTTCGAGACTGAAAGAAAAATATTAAATCGAATGCAAATACTTCTAGCCTATAGGATTCCAGGTTCAGTTTCTGGGCTAGATTTCACAGGACAGTCCAAGGGTCAACTAGCTATGATTGGTACCTGGCATCCCAACAATATCCTTCTTCTTGATTTACTCTATTCGCAGCATATTTTGGCTGCTTATTCAACCTTTTTAATTGGAGAGGTCTTATATTCAGTTTATTTAAGATCTAACATATTCTCCAGTTTTTTGATTGGAGTGGTCCTATATTCAGCTTATTTTAAAAACTGCTAACTTATTCTACTTTTTTGATTGGAGAGGTCCTATATTCAGTTTATTTAATATCTGCTAACTTATTCTACCTCTTTGATAGGAGATTCAGACTCAGATTCCACCTCTACTTCTGATTCTATGTGTGCCTCATCCACTCCACTGCTGGAGTCCCCATCATCATCATCTTCGGAAGAAACTGGTTTGAAATCTTCTTCTGTAAAATAAAAAGCTTCAAATATAAATCAAAAACTACAGCTATGATTCTTTTGTATTTATATTGCGTGAATTGTAATTATTACACAAAGCATCAATATATATATCAAAAGGATGTTTTGAAATTCTGAATTTCATCAATACAAATTTTATACCTATAGACATCCACCAAAACAGAATAAATTATGATAATTACCTGAATCCTCATCTGCACTTTCAGAGGCAATAATTTTTCGCCTTTTATTTTTAACCGCCGCCTCTTGAGCAGCTTTTCTCTTGGATTTAGTTAAATTCTCTGTAGGTTTTGGTGACGGTTTGCTTGAGGTTACTCCCTCCTATACAGTCAAGAATATGAGTTACCCTCAGTGTTTGACAAAACATTTAAGCTTCTAAGTTGAATATAAAACTAGTTTCCAAAAATTAGTTTGCAGAATAGCTTGTTGTTTTTCAAATGCAATCAGATCATTATCAAATTTAAAAAACAAAATACAACACCAGACAGTATTAGAAATATCACCTCCGTTTCTTTAGTTTTGACCTCACAGTTTTCTTTAGTTGCTACTTCCTGATCAGACATCTCATCATCAAATATCGAGGCTATTTTTTCAATATAAAGAAACAGAAATGATTCACAAGTAAAAGTTTTGAAATATATTTTTCTGAAATTAATTAGTAAATTAAACAAAATTATTTGCATAGATTAAAGCTTCAATCTGTTTAAATACTCAGGTAAAATTATTTGTAAAGATTAAGCTTTTGGTTATCTCAAATATTATTTTTAAAATACTAACGATCTAAATCCATTTTTTCTGCCACTTCATCATGATCATCATCCTCCTCTTCACTTGAAGGCTGCAGCTCAACAACAAGCTTCATTCTTTCATCAACTTCTAAACCAAGTGCCTTGTCTGCGTCTTCAACACCTTTCCTTATCTTGTTGTTCAATGAGTAGAACTGTCCACCTTTTTGCCAAGCCTCGTCATTTGCGCCTTTAAATGGTTTGATATTCCTGCAGAATCATTTAGATGTTTTAGTAGTTAAATAGCAAGAGTAAAGGGCTCTTTTCCGACACCCAATTGTGTAACAGCAAGCTGGAATAGTATTGATTCTAAAGAGAATAAGTGGTCAGTACCAAGAGAACAGTTCTGTGGCGGCCCTATGTGTTTTAGGCACAAAAAGGAAAAGATGATGACCAAGAGAGCAGCAGTTACTTTCCCAGGCTGAAAGTATATGCCTATCTGAGCTAAGGGGAATTTAGGACCTCCAAGTCTACAGACTACTTAGGTATTCATCTGGACAAGAGTAGGATAAGAGTTATCCTACAGATTAAAGCATCTGTTACCTATCCTAGGTTAAAGGAAAAGAGGCAGACCAAGAAAGACCTGGAGACGTGACCTGGAAGAAGACACCAAGAAGATTTGATACGCCTGGGGACAGTTGGAGAGACTAGCCCAGGACAGGGACGACTGGAAAGCTCTTGTCAGTGGCTTATGTTCCAGGAGGGGCGACAGGCAAACCTAACCTATCCTCCCTGTGACGTTTGAGTCAGCAATCTGTAAGATACAGCTATCACATGGCTGTTACTTTAAATTCTATTACATTGCCTGGTTCGTTGCATTTAAATGCATTAGGAATAGACAAACAAAATAAGCCCAATTTAATATTATCGGTTAGACAATATTTTAAATAGCCTAAATAACCTGTTTCTATTATTCAGTCTAAAGTTAAGTCGCAATAAATTCTATTACATTGACTGGTACATTGCATTTAAATGCATTAGGAATAGACAAACAAAATAAGCCCAATTTAATATTATCAGTTAGACAATATTTTAAATAGCCTAAATAACCTGTTTCTATTATTCAGTCTAAAGTTAAGTCACAATAAATTCTATTACATTAACTGGTACATTGCATTTAAATGCATTAGGAATAGAAAAACAAAATAAGCCCAACTAAATATTATCGGTTAGGCAATATCTTAAATAGCATAAATGACCTGTTTCTATTATTCAGTCTAAAGTTAAGTTGCAATAAGTCAACTTCTAATAATGCCTTACCCTATAAGTTATAACAGACACAACAGACCAGATTCAACTGACTAACCTGGCTTTGATCCAGGCTCTAGAGGGAGGGTCATCAAAAAATTGAACATGAACCATGGGGACTTTACCCCCCTTAGAGTGTGTTTTCTGTGTTGGGTGGTTACAAACTAGACTTGGCCACCACGGAAAGCCTTCCAGCTTGGCCCAGACAATGTCACCCAAAGATGAAACTGAAATGGTGTAAAGAAAAACAATGAATGAAAGGCTTTGTAAATGTCAGATTGCTTTGTTTTTCATTTATTTTTACTGAGGTATAATCATCTTGGAAATAGTCAAGTTATCATTCCTAGGATACCAAGTAAATATTTTTTCTGTACACATTGGCCTGTTAAGTTAAAATATTTGTTAGGCTACTTTATATGAAAGTAAGCGAGGCATTATGTTCAAGTTAGGTTATTAATAACTACACTGTAGGAAAACAGGACAACCACAGGTAAGCATATTGCTTCTTTTTTAAATGATCTTTTCTAGATCTAAAATCTAGGCTAAATCTTAATGACAAAAAAAAATTCAGCCTCATTTTATTATTTTGACTTACTTAAGCCTTAAGCCAAAAAGTTTATATTTATATTGATCTCTGAACTCTCTGATTTTTTATTTCATTTAGTCTAGTTATTAAATAGGTAGGCCTAGATTCCTATAGGCCCTAATAATATTTGGCTATTGTTATTTATTAGGCCTATTTGTAGTATTTAGTATATCTCTGGGCCTGGGTCCTAAGACCTTCAATCGTTAGTGAGTTGCAAAACACCATTAAGCAGCCTACCAAGTACAAGTAGTAACAAGTAGGCCCTAGACTAGATTTGATCTAGATTTTAGTAATACAATTCAATAACAAGTTAATAAATTCGTTTGTTCAACAAGTTCTCGAATGAGGAAGCACCACTGTCTGAAGTCCTAGCCTCTAGATCTACCTCTCTAAGTTCTCTAAGGGGTCATCCATAAATGACGTCACGCTTTTTTTGTCAATTTTTACCTCCCCCCTCCCCTCCATCACAGCCGTCACAAAAAGCCAGACCCCCCCCCCCCCTAAAATGATGTCACAACTCAACCTACAACCCCCCTCAAAATTGCTGTTGAATTTTTTTTAAACATCGATATTTTTCCAAAATCTTGTCTAAACTATTACAATTTATTAAAACAGTTATCTAAAACGCGAAATAACGTCTAAAATTCATTTTCTAACATTGCTTTTTATAATGCAAAAGTGTGACGTCGCAACATCTGATCCCCCCTCCCCCTCATCACACATTGTCACAAAATTATGTCATTATTATGGATGACCCCTAACCTTAGCTAGACTTTAGTTAGACTAGCTAGATCTAGATTCTAGACCAGTAGTCGTAGACTTAGGCCTAGTAGTTTTTAAATATTTAATCATTAACTTTAAATAAAATAATCTGAAACTAGGGTACTAGATCTACAAGTCTACCTTGAACGTCGTTTTTTGTTCTGCCTGTAATAGGGGATGATGCGGCTGAGTTGCTCCCACTGACATTTTTCTTCTTATCGGAATTCGGTGAGCGCCTGGGTGACAGAATTTCGCTTGACTTGTTCTCTGATTTTGGTGTCTTTTGAAAATAGGCGAACAAGGTGTTACCTTGCTTGCCCTTTGGAGTCTTAGACATTTTTTAACCAGTTACAGATACTTAAATATGTGTAGACTGTAGACTGTGTTTAAAACTATTGTTTATGTAACACGGATAAAAATTAAAAGGGAGGTCTATAGAATCTAAATAAACAAGTCAACAGAGAAGGTTGTGGCTCTTTAAATGAGATTGTTGACGTGAGTTACCGAACTTGGCGCGCCTTTTCGGTAACTTTTCCTGCAAAGCGCAAAAAACGGAAAATAAACTCAGATGTTTAACTCCAAGGAAATTATACTTATACCGATAGATCTAGATTCTAGATCTAAATGCCTGTATTTAAATATTACTAAAATACTGATATATAGGCTAACTAAATATTGAATTCATATTATTTTTATTTCTATTATTTATTACTTATTAGGGCCTATTTCTTACTATTTCTTATTTCTTACTATTATAATACTTATCAATATGTCGTAATGAAATAAAATTCGTGAAATTCTAATTACAGCTCAGAAAGAACATTCTAAAAATTTTTTCCTAATATTCCTAAACCGTTGAGCGCCCCCTCCCCCCCCCCCCCTTAACATCCAATACCACTGCTCTCATCACGAACCACCCCCACCCCGGACAAGACAAAATACGGCCGTGCATTTTACTCTCAGGATACAGGCGTAGGTGGAGGGGGGGAGGGAGAGGGCATGTTGAGAACGGTGGCACAAATAAATAAAGACAGTCGCTCGGTAATGTAAAAAAAATGATGACGCGCCTGTCGGGAAATCGGTATCTGTATCTCATTTTAGGTTAATAAAGGCGCCCCCCCCCCCCCCCCCAATCCCAGGATATCAAAAACTGGAGTTAAATTTCCTTTTAAAAAAGTAGAGGTATATTGCTGATAGGAGATGGATAGGCCGTAGGTTGAGGAATATATATATATATATATATATATATATATATATATATATATATATATATATATATATATATATATATATATATATGTCACAGACTGTATAATTAGGTATGTTTATATTATATTGTGTTTTACATGAAGTTGCATGAATGTAGATTACCTGGCTAGCGGAAGGACTGTCTGAGCGACTCGTCATGTATTTTCCCATGCTTTTGGGTGAGATCGCTCATGTACGTAAGGGGAGAGAATGGACCGTATAAAAGGTAGAGCGAAAGGTGAACGGGGTGCTTGCGCTAGGACTGTGATTGTGAATGTAGGATGTCACTACGTCACTTTGATTCGTGACTGTACTTATACTAAATTATACTAGTTGTTTATCTATGGATTTACTATGGATTCATCATTTCACTGTAGTTTATAAAGTGTAAATAAAGTTATAGTTTCACAACTACTGTTGCTCGTGTGAGTATATTGAAGAACCCACAATAACAACAATGAAATTGATGTTGTTACAATATATATCAAATCAAATATTCTGTGTGGTTAAAGCGAGCAAAATAACGAAGGAAAAACCTGCAAAGTTTATGATCCATGGAGTTTTATTTGATTTGCATCAATTTTTTAGAACCTTCTCCCCAAGGATCGGTTAACCCATATCCAAAACTAAAGCAATTTTTAGACTTGCTCATATCCTCTTCGGCCTGATTGCGTCAGAGAAGGTTATTGGAGATTCAAGCTTGAGAATCATGATATCATTGTAAAGAATCCCATCTTTAGAATACAATTTTGTAAAATGTTTCTCAGCTTTTATATGTTTTGTCGTGTCTAGTTGTGTCATGTCATTTAATCCAAAATAAACCATGACAGTAGAATTCGGTGAAATCATACAGTGCCCGGCTGTATGGATCCACCACTCGGTGAGAATTGAACCCCCACACGTCGCAGTTTCACCAGAATCATGTGCCAGAAGAAAGACATACCACGGCCAAGCATTCTCCGGAGCTTCCTCGCCCCTAACAATGGTCTGCGACTGGTCAACTAGAGTCTGACCACACAAGGAACTTTGCTCAAGTTTGTTGTTTGGGTCACGTTTAGGGATGTTGTTGTGGTTCATACCTTCGAGGATACTCTTCAGCTTAGCTTTGTATTCTTCCATAGTGAATGGAAGTTTTTTCCAGTGTACAGACATTCTTGGTGATACCTTGAACGCCGAGATCCCCAGTCAACAGGACCAGCCAAACCAACACCTGTAACAGAAAGATCAAGTATTATATTGTATGAGTAACTGCTGCTTTATTGACTTTTTACTTTCTCGTATATACGAAGTATAGAGAAAGTATTGTAATCGTGCAAAAAAAATCGAGATTTTTATAAATCTCGACGTTTTACACCTCACTGATACGGAAAAACATAATTTTGCAATCTTGTCCGTATGTCTGTGTGTGTGTGTGTGTGTGTGTGTGTCTGTGTGTAAACACGATAAGTTGAGTACCGTTACTACTAGGTTGATGAAATTTCTAAATCGTAGATCCTGATCAACTTTTGAGCGATTTCCGATAACCGGAAGTGGTACTTTTTCTACTTTGAATTTTTAAAAAGCTTATAACTTGAGTACTATTTCAGATAGATAAATGAAATTTCACAAGTAAGTAAACTATCTAACTTTATACCTTCTGTCAAATTTTGAGTAATTTCTGTTGACTGGAAGTACTAATTTACGCTATTTCCGATTTCTCAAAAATCGCACGTAAATTTATAAAGTACTAATAATATCCCGCACTATTATGCACATTTTATTTTAAATGGCGCAAACAAACTTGTGAATTGAATTTGGTGTATTGAAGGGGTTTGAGAGTATGTGAGTAGTGTTTTAATAAAAGATGTTGAGGGTTTGCGAGTATGAGGGTAGTCGAATGTGGAATTAATAAATGATGTTGAATGTGACGATGCAAGGAAGGGTATGACGTGGGAGAGTATGTTTTGGTTGTTAGGGCTAATAGTTAGTCAGCCTTAGTCTTGTTCTTGTCGCGTGAGGGTGTAGAAGTCTTCATCATGTTTGTCGTCGATGTAGTAAGATGCAGTCGTGTATATTATATGTAATTAAAGATGAGAAATGTATCAACGCCGTCCTGTCTCATTTTCTATTGGATTGTCGTTGTATTTGTACGTAATCATCCAAGCAACCACCCTGTCCTCACCTCACTTCATAACACAAACCTCTAGTACCGACATACATGATATTAGAAGACAAAACCTGCATAAGGAGAAATTGGATAAATATATAATAGAAAATCATGACCTAACCGACACTCAGAGTTTCTTCCAGGCATCTCTTCGGGGGGGCTCCGCCCCCCCGAAAATTTTTTACCGCCCCCCCCCCCCCCCGAACGAAATGAAATTTATATAATTTATATAGAAAATATATACTTTTAACAGTGTCCGCCCCCCCCGAAGAAAGTTTACCGCCCCCCCCCCGAAGATTTTAAGTGCCCCCCCCCCCCCCCCCGGAGAAAAAAGTCTGGAAGAAACACTGCCGACACTAGTTGTTGTGTTCGTACACTCATTAAACCTTTCACTTTAAAAAAAAAGATGGCTGCGGATGGTCGGCTGACCTATAAGATGTAATTAGGTATTCAGGTCCACACTTAAAGTTAAGAGACATCCGCTTATGCCATCGCCATGAAGAGGGGATGGTGAGTGGGGGGGGGGGGGGAGGGGAGAGTATAAGAGGTGTGGGGAGTGGGGAGAGGTGGGATTGGGTGGAAGTTTGAGTTAAGGAACAGGGATTCATAAGGGGTTAATAGACTATAAAGGATGGGATGGGTATTATGGGATATTGGTTTGTGTTGTATAGTGCAACCGTTAGACCGTTTCCGAAGTGGAAACTGGGTTGTCTAGTTTATCTTAATATTGTATAAGGGTTTCACCTTAATACCATCTCTTCACAGAAATATGTTAATATAAGGGTGGTTTCACAGGGCTCAATCTTAGGTCCTTTACTTTTTTCTTTATACATTAATGATCTTGCTTTGCACATCGACGCAGGTCAGTGCTAGATGTTCGCTGATGATACTTCGTTACATGTCTTTGCAGACAGTGCTGACTCGCTCAATTACAAACTTCAAACATGTGCCAATCAGCTTGCTACTTGGACAAAATTTAACAAAATGAAACTTCACACCGATAAAACCAAGTCAATGTTTTTTACTACTCATCAGAAACGCCTTCGTCTTCCATCCACCTCTTTACGCATTACTATAGACAATACAAACATTGAACAGGTTAATAGTTACAAATGCCTAGGATTGGTTATACATCACAACCTCACTTGGTCCGATCATATTCATCTTCTAATAATGTCCTTATTAAAGACAACTTTTTAACTAGCAAGGAAAAAGAACTTTCTGGACTATAGGAGCAGGCTAGTTTTTTGTGAAGCTTTTATTCAATCTAGGTTGGATTATGCTTCCGTAGTGTGGAGCGGCAGCTTTATAACTAAGCAACGTCCTCTTCTATCATTACAAAAAAAGGGCTATAAAACTGGTTACTGGCTTGTCTAGTAGTCTGGGTTCTTTTATTACAACTAAAATACGTCCATTAAATAAAAAGATAATATATACTAAATCAATTGTTTATATAAAATATTCCACGAAACCTTACTTATCAGACCTATTTTCTTATAACATAAAATTAAATCGTCGTCTTAATTTACCGTTTTTTCCAGAAACATAGCTTAGCCTACTCTGGTTCTAATTTGTGGAACAATCTTCCTAATAAAATAAAACTATCTAGATCTGTAAATATATTCAACTCTAAACTTAAACAACATATATTTAATGATCTCTCTAACTGATTCATTGAAACATTTCTCATTCATCTATTATATTCTTTTTTTAAATCTCATTTTGTATTATAACTATGTAATATTATTTCTTTATTCCACATTTTAGTGCTATTTTACTGCAATGTCGTTACTATACAATTCCTTTTTTTTTAATGCTGTTATTAAATTGTTGTTTCTTTTTGTTTATTTTAAAACGGCCAATGTGAAAAAGGCCTTCGTGGCTACTATTGTTTCCGTAATTGAATAAATAAATAAATAAATAAATTGAATCGTCCCACAAACAAATGAGATAAAAAGATAAACATGAAATACGCCACAGTTAATAAAGTCACGTAAAATATTTCTCTGTAAAAAAAAAATTAAAAAGCGGGACTGAGCTCCCCCAAAACTTTCTCGAATCTAATATATAAAGTTGAAACGGACTCTTAGTGTGATATATCTAAAGTGCTCATCACATATATTCATTATTTAAAAAACTAATATGGAAGTTGTTATAAAACAACTTTCATTTTCCAAAATTATAGTATTAAATATAGCCTGATTCAAGTTAGTGAACGACTATGATACCCCAAGCTTATCCGCAAACGGAAAGAGAGAAGTAAACATAGATGACATTTAGATGCGGCTTGTAAACTGTAATTGATTACAAATAACATTTAGTAAACAGAACGCTCCGTGTATAAAATAAATAAAAGGCAGTATTTAAAATACCTACCACATTTCACTCGATCAATCCACGCTAAGTATGTCATTATTTCTTTCCCAACAGCAAAACAAAGTAATAAAAAATACCCCCCCCCCCCCCCCCCCCGATGTAATGGGTTTTTACTTTCTCATTTATACAAAGTATAGAGAAAGTAAGTCTTGTAATCGTGCAAAAAAAAAATCGAGATTTTTGCAAATCTTTACAGCTCCCTGAGTCGGAAAAACATAGTTTTGCAATCTTGTCCGTATGTCTCAGTATGTGTGTATGTGTGTGTGTGTCTGTAAACACGATAACTTGAGTATCGTAACAGCTATTCTTTTTCTACGATATTTTATTTTATTTTTAAAAGTTTAATTATTTAAAATGGATTAAAAATCATGTCTATATCCCGAGTTGAAATCCCCTGTTCTTTTATATAAGAATGTTCGAGAAAGCTTAGGGGAGATCACTCCCGGTTTATTAAAGAGAAATGATTGTATTTTCATAATTTATCAAGCGACGGAAATGTCACCTCCCGTCCCCCTCACCGCCACTCCGGAAATTTCATGTCATAAAAAACAAACTGATACCAAAGTGCTAATTGAAGGTGTCTGCTTGTGACTGGTAGAACCCAGTCAAGTAGAGAGCGTTTGTTTTGTTGAAGTGTTTCATAATTTAAATCCGTAACGCAATCGGGAGATCTGGCTAAGGACCTGTCGCGACACCGCAACATAAATGACACACTAATTGGCACTTGGTGGATGATATAAGTATGATGTAGAGTATAATACTTAAATAACAATCCAAACCAGCTAAATTTCTGAAGTGTTTGTTTCGCAAAATTTTATATTAGTAACATTAAGAATGTGTATGTTTTGGAACGGAAATCCTAAAGTATGATGTTCAGCGGTTCTCACATATTTTTCTTACGTATTGAAAGATTTTTGTTTAGGCTTTACATACAGGCCGTATCTCCTAATGTTCACCAACACATCGTTCATGAGTTAGTCTGGTTTGAATTTAGGGTCAGCTGGCGAGCTTAAACGATTTTAGTTGATTCGTGACTGTTATAAGTTAATGGTTGAGGGGGGGGGGGGGGTTCGTCCAAAATTGACGTGACGCTTTTTGAACGATTTTTACCTCCCGCCTCTTCGTTATCACACATCGTCACAAAAACCTAGGCCTCCATCCTTAAAATGATGTCATACCCCACCCCACCCAAAATTGCTGTTGCTGCTTTTTAAAGTTCGATTTCTTTTTTTTTTTCTTTTTTACTTTCTCGTATATACGAAGCATAGAGAAAGTATTGTAATTATGCACAAAAATAACATGAAATTTTGACAGTTTTCACCTTTTTACTCCTCAGTCCTTCATCACATCCGAAGTATAGAGGACTTATTTTAATCAGGCAAAAATTAGTAATACAAATATATAAACATTTTGGCGTTTTATGTGTTATCGAGACGTAAAAACTGGACTTTGCAATTCTGTCCGTATGTCTGTGTGTGTGTGTGTAAGTGTCTGTGTATAAACACGATAACTTGAGTACCGTTACAGCTATATATAAGTATTGTATCAAAATCGTAGATCCTGATCAACTTTTGAGCGATTTCCGATAACCAGAAGTGGTACTTTTTCTAGTTTGAATTTTTAAAAAGTC